GGGGGGGGGGGGGGGGGGGGGGGGAGCGGGGAGCGGGGAGCGGGGCGGGGGGCGTTGGCACATCAAACTCTGGAGTTTATTGGATAAATCCGAATTGACCAAAGCTTTTACAGGCGCGTGTTTTTCAGTTTTTTTTAATTCATTTGAAAACTTGGAATCCTAGTAATAAGTCAATAATAGTGCAGGTTCCAATAGAAGTTAGATACACGGGCCTTTTGTCTTTAATCTGGGCTGTCGGAAGGTTACCACCAATCGTGACTGTTTTTTTTATTATTGGTGGTTTTATACTTTTCTTTCAAATCGGTTTGGGGGGGGGGGGAGGGGGAGGGAGGGAGGGAGGGAGGGAGGGAGGGAGGGAGGGAGGGAGGGAGGGAGGAACTGGTCAGGTAGGCCTGAAAAAGTCCGGGCATTGAAAAATATAATTTCTCTATTTTTGGCACAAGTAATATTAAGTTTTTCACGAAAGTGAGGGGGATGAGCGGGTAAAGTATGTATAGTGATCTGATTACTGCTTCATTTGTGCCAAACTGCGCCAAAGGGCTTACCCTGCTACATCCCGCTACATACATATGAATGGATAAAACATTGAGGACGGGGACGTAACAGGACTTCTTTCAAAGAAAGAAGTCCTGTCCTCAATGTTTTATTGTTTCAAGTATTCATATCTATTCCCCAAGATGCTTGTTTTAAATTATCCTGCTACATTTTACCAGAATGTGGGAAATTTTCGCCACGCCAAAATTGAATTTCACTTTAAAGGGATACTACAAAGAATTTTCGGCTCTTATTTCTTGGTTTATTCGTGTTCAAGGGAGCAGTATCACATCAGGAACACCAATATCTTGTTGAAAAAGATGCGAAAAGAAATTTTAAAATGATTTAAATGATTAGCAAACGGCACCTCGTGGATGTTTGCTAAAGCCTCGTTTGTAATGCCCGTCTAGAAACCTTGACAGGTTGTGACGATGCCTGTCTCACCTTTAACTTGACTTCATCCCACCTGCTCTCGGGCCACCACCAAAGAAATCACCCATACTTTCTTTTGTGTGTCCCAGACGTCGTCATTGTCCCTCTAAAAGATTATAGAAGATTAACCCTTCACTCAAAATTCCTACAAAAGCAGCTTTGGGGTTAGTTGTGGTGGGTGGTCGGGTGGCCGATCGTTTGCGCTTCGGCCGCTTCAGTGGCTGGAACGGCTGGGACATGCCATCGACGTCATCTTTGCCGCAGCTTTGCTCGTCCCGAGACAATCTGTGTCACGATTGCGTCGGATGTCAGATGCTCTCCGCTGGCTGCTCTTTGAATGCTTGTCAGAGTGGGCCATTTATAACGAAAGATACAGCCATCAGGCTCAAAATACAAACGTGCGATTGTCATTTATGGGTATTGTGGATCATATTCAACCTATTTCTGAACACGACGGGTATGTGTCAAATTTCGTTAAAGTATACCTTCGAAAATACTGAAAATAAAGATTTCAGGCGTCAGTACCCAACCGGATTGTTATGATATGCTTGTGCGAGTTTTCAGAACTTTCAATTATCACCTCAAATGGCATACTATTAAATTTGATTTTTCGTCAAACACTGACAGTACTCGGAGGTTTTGCAATAATTCTCATGTTCGTGGTCTGTTCTGGCAGGTTAGTTAGTTTTTTTTTTAGTGCACTTCTCGTTGCACAGTTGCATACTGCAGTGACCGTGGAGCAGACTTGTACACGTTACTGAAAAAAAGTAACTGATTACAATTACAATTACTACAGTCAAAAAAGTAACCGATTACCGTTACTGATTACTGCCTCCCAGAAGTAATTGAACAATTACTGCAAAGTAATTGATTGCTTTTCAAGTTACTTTCACGTTACTTCTTATTGCGATGACAGAAATACACAAATACACAGTAAAATATTGCGTACACAATTTTGTTTGGTTATTGTTCCCTTTTTTGTTTTCAGACCCGGACCTTGTCGTGTAGCTGACGCGTCGACCTAAGGAACAAAGCCCACTAAAAAGTCAATAGCGAGTTCCCGCTTCCCGTCGACTTTATCAGCAATCTGCAACGAGATCCGGAACTCCCCAGCCAAGGCTGGTGGCGCGCTTGTAGAAGAGCGTGGCGCAAAAGAAAAAAGGAGTTGCCGACTAAACCTAGTTTTTTTTTTTTTTAGATGTTAAAAAAATGTCAATCATTTTTGCTCCATGGCTCAGTGACTATGTTGATTTTTGTGAGAAAAAAAAATTGTGGAATGAAAAACGTAATTGGTAATTGTGTAATTGATTTTGTAATTGATTACAGAAAAGAAGTAATTGAATTACTCCGAGCGTTACAGCTTGACAAATGTAATTGAAGCGTTACAAAATTACACTTAACTGTAATTGATTACAAGTAATCAATTACTTGTAACGCGTTACATACAAGTCTGCCGTGGAGTAGTCATCGCGATTCTGCGTGTCTTGCTTCGCCGCAGTGCACCTGTGTGGTCAGGGGAAAGCGCTCCTCCAGAGCGAGACGTGGCACAAGTTCTGACTACCAACTCCGGGATGCTCAGAACAAACTCACATTAATGGGCTGCTAAGATTGGCAATCTTGATGGTTTAAAGCGCACGTTGCAAAATAGCTGTGGACGCTCACCGTCAGCACGCACTCAGCTGTTGCGCGCACAGCTATGGCCGCCAGTGAATACTGCCTATACGATAAACTGTGATATCCTAACGGCATCTTTCTTCAGTCCGAGATTTCGCAAGTATGCTTCGGTATTGCAAGAATTATATGAAATGTTCTGTAGGTTAATTTTTTTGTTTTGTTTTTCATCTGAATTAAGAATTGCATTTTGCGGATTTCATACCTAAAATAACCATCACGATAGTGATGTGCTGTTTTTCATCAGTCATTTTCGTGTTGCAGCGTCTGGTGCTTCTACACACGACTAAACAGCCAGTTCTATGTTTGAGGGAACTGCTCCTGGCTGTGCAATCGATGCTAACAAAAGGTTACTCATAAGTGAGAAGGCAAGGTAGATATTGCCTTGTAGTTATACAGGCTTAAACATGAATCCTAACATAATTGTAGTGATACGAATGAAAATTAACTGTGCACCTATGTTCCAGAAGTTCCTTTTGCTGGTCCAAAACTGACTTTTGAGTGCTCCAAGAGCTGCTCCAAAATGGCTCGGACCAATCACATCACTGATGTAGTATACGTTTCATGTCCAATTTTTTTAGCTACTTCATATCTGGAAAATTGTGAAATGTAGATTTTTGACGACTTTAGTATTTGAGGTGTCTCAAAAGATTTATTTTAGGATCACCAGCTTCTCAATAAAGTTATTTCTCTCTCTCTTAGGTGTGTAATAGGTTCTTTTCTATTTCTAGATTTTTTGCGACACCTATGACGTAAAATCAATGAATTATTTTTAACAAGTAAAGGTCCACTAAATTCAGTTCAAACATCATTACCTAACTTGGAAACGCTGTTTTGTAGTTCTTTGGCACATGTACATTTCTTGAATATTTCAAATCTCCAATTTTATTGATAAATTTTTTTTTTCTATTTCTCGAGGGGCATTGTTGTAGTCAGTCCTTGAAAACCCTCTTCTTTATAAACGCTTGTCAGGAAAAGAAAATCACTTGACAAATTGCAGCTCGGTGGACTGACAAGGATAGAAAACGAGTGCAGCAGACCTCACAAGACTAAAGGCCATGTAGAGACACAAAAGATTCAGTCTGCGTCACTTGTGCAATGTCACATCAAGTCATCTTTGAATGAGTCACTGACATGTTGGTTTACTGTTTTGTCATACCCCAGGGGCTTTAAAGCTGTTTTACAGATTAGGCTAGCATCCTATGAAAACCTTAAAAAAAACCAACAGACCTAAAGGGGCAGTGCAATGGTATTAACGTTACAAAAATCTGCTGCATGTTATTTTTAGTTCACTTATCTTAGCACAAGTGAAATAAAACATGTCTCTCTACCCTGGAATACTGCGATTCTACCGTGTAATTGCAAAGCAGAAAAACATACTTTTTCCCAACCTGCATTTGCAATCGCTCCCTTCCCCCTCCCAAACTGTCTGGCATGACAACATACAACAAATATTAAACCAGCGCACTTTAGGCACAGTGGTCTTAGCAAGGCTGTCGAATTGCCACCTTCGTAGAGTGGCTTTTCATAGCGACGGATACAGTAAACTCTCTTCACTAATAGAGAATTTATTTATCTAAAAAATTTTGTTTGTCGTAAACAGTTTAGACAACACATGACAACCCAAAACAAAATTAAGTTTGTCAGGCCAAGAAGTTGTCGAATGTGGACTATTATGCAGGAGATACACGAGCAATGAAAACGGGCACCGCACGGCAGTTTTCATAACAACTTGCGTGGATGCTGCGACGTGGACCTCTGCCATGCCGCTATTTCACAGCGTTCGCGCAAGTTAGCCTGGAAATGTCCGCGTGCTGCCCATCTCTACAGCTAGCCCCGTCGAATGCACTTTTCACCGAGCACCGGTGCACCGCAGAGAAGCAATACCAGCGGAAGCAAGTGCTGCGGGTGTTGCCCCTTTGCAGTGCACCGGTGCTCGGAAAGACGCGCACTCAACGGGGCCGCGAGAACAAAAAAGCATGGATTACAGAAGAACACCGTTCGAATTGAGCAGCTTGTGAATACATTAAAAACATGGCGGGACTACCAAAATTTCTTAATTTGTTTGAATAGGCCAGAAGAATGAAATATCCTTTGCTCCTGCTTTTTGCCGGAACTTCTGCGAGCAACTGCCTGGGTTGCAACACGTGACAGCGCGACACGTTGGCTTTTGTAACGTCTCTTGTCGCCACTTCGGGACCGTTTGCGATGCATGGACAGAATGGGACACTAGATGCGCCAGTCGGGGACACGTTCCAGGCGCCGTAGTACAACAGCGTGTGGGTTTCTTGTCGTATTTTGCCCGGATACAGGTCGGCGGCGTTGACCGTGCTGGAACGTCTTGTGCATCTTTTTGCTTGCAGCCGCACGAGTTTGACGAGTGCCGTTTCGACGTCAGCGTTAACGACTGCGTGTGGTACCTCCGTGCCGACTGCTTGGAAGAGCGTAACCGATGGGTGGAGGCGCTGGACGCTTACAAGGTGTGTATGTGCACGCAGCCGTCTTGGTACACTGGCGAATAGGGTGGAATTTTGATATAGGTACTTGAGGAGTAGCTTGCCGGCTAGAAGCCGACTCGAGTCATAATTGAGCGGTTTGCTTCGAGGATTGTCGGCAGGACGTGTTTCTTACAAAAAGGAAGGGTTGGCTCGAAATCCCGTCTAACTAGCACAGCCTCCATTGGGGCGTGCAAAAGATGCCCGTCATTGGTGTGGCACGTAAATCCCAATTTGAATTTGTTCTCTGTGCCACCAACAGGTGGACTCTGCGTACGGGAGTGAGAACAGCCTGCGACGCCATGGCTCGGCGCTGTCGCTGGGGTCGACAAGCGTGTCGTCGCTCAAGAAAGGTCGTGGGCTGAGGGAGAAGCTGTCCGAGATGGAGACCTTCAGGGATATCTTGTGTCGCCAGGTCGACACACTTCAGGGGTACTTCGACACCTGTGCCTCCCTGGGTGAGTGGAACAACTGCATAACTTGGTTTTGCCACGGTCTTTCAATACTTTCTGGTTTGAAAACTTTCTATTGGTCGAGGACACTCACTGCTTCCTGGGGACACACTGCCATCCCAGAGAAGAGTTGTTACCCTAAAGGCAGACTGTCACCCCAAGGACGAACCTCCACCCTAGGGACAAACTATTTCTCTAGGGACTAACTGTCATTTTGGGGACTGATCCCTAGGAAGAAACTATTACCCTAGGGATGAACTGTCATCATGAGGACAAGCTAGCAACCTAAAGAACCTAATGAAAAACTGAACCATCCTCTGGTGGTTCAGCGCACACTCGGTGGTAGAAGAGAACCGATTGAACCAGTCAAGGAGCCTACAAGGAGAATTATAGTCTTTGACAGGTTAAGAGTTTAGGGGAAGCTCCTCCCACCACTTTTTACTTTAGCAGAGTGAATGCTGGAGAGGAGGCAACCCTCTCTCCAGCGTTCGCTCTGTTGTACTGTCTGCCATTGCTGGTAGCATCCTAAGCACCTTGGTCAGGCTCACGCAGCCTGCGGCGTTCAAGGAAACCTCGGTAGAGGCCGCCAAGAGTCAGAATGACGTCACGATGACGTCAAATATGTTGATCACCCCCTCCGGCAACTAGGACGGGTACAGCCGTTAACATCCATGTTCCCTCGGGGCGCTCTTTCTGCGCTCAAGCGTAGGGTTCTTGTTTCCACCGCCTCAAAATATGGCGTTACGATCGACTTTGCCGCCGGGCCGGTGGCCATGGCAACGGCAACGGCGCAACCGGTGCCACCGGTGCAACGGCAGCAACGGTCTCCGACAGCCGCTGAGCGTGATCGTGAGCTCCGAGTGTTCTGCGGAAAACGTGGTGTTCGCTCGGTCCGCGCTAATTTGACTTCGAAAGTTCTGGTGCTCTCGGAAGAGGATACCTTGGCGCTACTGTTCTGCGAAATGGTGCGGGAACTCAAACGAGTCGAAAGTCTTGTCGAAAGATGTTCCGAAGCGAGAGGTAAAGTTTCGTTTTTCTTCGCTTTCGTTCCAAGCCCGTTCCATGTGGTGCAATCCTGGTTGCGATTTTCAGTCTCGTGCGGCAGAAACCCCGTAAACACAGCACTTAGCACACGTTTGTTTTCGTTTTTACTTATGTATGAGCGACGTTGCACCTGAAATTTGCAGTCAGATCGAACCGTACCACGTGCTACGCGCACAGGACGACACTGGCATTTTTGGTGTTCTCCTTTTGCTCACAGACCCTTGCCTTACTTTTTTGGGCAAGCTTGAGTGCTTTCTGGCGTGCATTCTCAATCTGATATACAAGGATGATGTGATGAAGAATCTTAGTGCTTTCATGACAGAACAGTCGGAGACCTCTGTCCAGCAATCGGCTACAAGTTCTCCAGCTGCTATGAACCCTGGTGAATTTAAAACCTAATTTGAAAATGTCTGTAGCTAATAGGAAAGCACAGAAACCGTAAAACAAATCATCTATCAGCTGAGTAACAAAAAAAAATTTTTTTTTGTCTACGAAACATTGAAGTTTCTGCTGATCAAAACTGTGGTGGTGCGATGTCTTCTATAAATGTATATTTCTTTCATTGTGCTCTTTTTTTGCATCTCGTGCTATCTGTTCTATTGTTCCTTAAATTTTATTATCTGTATTTATCTTACATTTTATGTATGAGATCTGTGTAAATAATAAAGAATGTATGAAAAGTATGTGTGTGCTCCTTGCCTCCTACCCACTTGAGGAGCAGCTTCTCTGAAGTTGCGCTACAGTGGTTTATGAACAAAGATATAAAAAAAAAAGCCCCAGAAGACGAGAATGAAATCGACGAGAAATTAAATCAAGAAAGCGAACGGGGGGGGGGGGGGGGGGGGTAGCGAGTGGACGCGAACCGGACGCCCGGAACGAGACAGGACAACTTGCGCCATCTAGGGGCAAGTAGGGGCGGCCCGGTTGAGGCGGCGATTGCAGCGCCATGTTTTGAGGCGGCGGAAACAAGAACCGTACGCTTGAGCGCAGAAAGAGCAGAAAGAGCGCCCCGAAGGAGCATGGATGTTAACGGCTCTACCCGTCTTAGTTGCCGGAGGGGGTGATCAACATATCTGACGTCGCCGTGACGTCACCCTACTTTTCTCTTTCTTTTTCGCTCATCGGTCGCTCTTTTCTCGCTTCTTCGCTCGCTCGGGCGCCCGGAGCGCGTTACAATAGCCAAGGCTACGGCTGCGCCGGCCTGCCTTGGTGTTGCCAAGCTCCTAAAAAAAAAGTTTTTTGTTTTGTTTAGCTGAGGAGTCTGCGATCGAGGACGCGACCACAGCGTCCAAAGAGGCACGGGGAGATGAGGCCCCAGCTAGAACGTCGGACCTGCTGCCCTCTCGTCTCAAAGGTGGGTTTTCGGGTAGCCACATTTATTTTGTATCTTTCGCTCTGCACATCAAACTACCAAATGTGTCCAATTTGAAGTAAAAGTGATTGTGTTGGTGTCAAGACAGCGGTACGTTGATCAGGACCATTGGGCATCTGGTGGCGGGGCTGGGGCTTGAACCCAGGATCCTTGGGGCTCAGCAGACGAGCCTTCGCTCCTTGTGCTCCAAGCTGCGGTGCGCTAAGACGTTCGGCCACCGGTGCCCCCTAATTTGAAATGCCGAAATGATTCTGTGGGGTCGGTTGTTGTACGTGCTAAAGTTTGGGCACTTTTGAAGCCAGACCTTGACAACTAATTGGTTTCTACGAGATAGACTGGATAACCTCAAAATTTGAGAAGTAAAAGAAATGTGCCACTACGTTTAGGCTGCATACTTTAAAGACGTAATTTGGTGTTATTAGGTGAAGCCAGTTAGCGTGTGTTCATTTTGTAAAACTGGTGTAAGTAACCTCATCTTCTATGAGGAGACAAGTACCCATATAGCTGGATAACCTGGGCATACTGAATTAAGGTCCATACAGGATGACTAATTGCTTGGCACTGATGCTGGAATAGTTGCACAGCTCCAGAGTGAAGTAGTTGCTAAAAAATAGAAGCAACATTTTCTTTATACGGCTTGAATACAACACTTTGTTTAGCAGCATAGCACCAATGCAAAATTTGAGGAGTCAAGCTGGCATAACACAAAATCTGGAGATCAAATATTGTTTTTTTTTTTATAGACAACAATGTAAAACTAATGTATTATTTGATTGTAAAAAAAAAAAAAAAATATTGAATGAAACATAGAATTGTCTATGTGATCTGTCATGACACTGTTTGGAGTTAATCTTGACCGCCCTTCTTATGTTTGATGGAAAAACTACACATTTGCTATAAGTTTTTTCATTGGTTAACACTTCAAGGTTTCAAGGTTTTTACATGGTTATGACTGATGAAGTTTGAAACTCTATCCATTGACTTCTGCTCGCATTCTGCCAATTAAGCTGTTCCAGGTCAACTTGCAATGCTCATACCCTTGTTACATTAGCGCTCTCAACTGTCATTGAGCCAAAGACAGTTGACTCAATCACGATCGGCCAGAGTCACACGGCGGCGCCAACTGTTATGGAGCCGCTAACAATCATTGAGCTGTCCTACCTCAGTTAACTGATGAGGTGGCGGCCTCCGCCGCATTGTTGCTGATGGTCAGCGACAGCCAAGCTCTTGCTATTGCCGAACATTGGGGGAGGTGTCAAGAAAGTATCGTAGCAGCAAATATTCTCGTAAGAGGTATGATTTGGGGCCAGAGCTGCCACTAAAACGATTGCGGCAAATTGCAAAAGCTCACGCTCGCCGAGCGCGACCATTGTGATGTCGGTGCCGATAAGACTTTCGTTTTTTCTCTCGCTTGAATTTGTGTGAAATGTATTGTTTCTTTACTCTAAAAATTAAAAAAGAAGTTCATTATGTTTTGTGTTAAACATTTATTATAATAGATGAAAAGTGTGCTTATGATTCCTATAACATTTTAAAAAAGGTAATGTGACATCAGTTTTGGTTTCGTTTCAGTTTCAGCTGGGATCTAAAGTTGGGGTTGTTGGGCCTATGTACCGTGTAACACCTAACAACTTAGTTGAGCTTAATGACAGTTGAGAGGGGCCAACGATCGTTGGTTCAATGATCGTTGAGAGCGCTAGTGTAACTAGGGTATTAGTCGGTGCTGTTTGTAATGGCTGTCATTACCCATGTTTTGTTGCGAGATACTACAACACAATGTTTTGAGAAAAGATAACAGTTCTCACAGCCCTAAACTGACTTTAGATAAGCAGCACTGTTTTCAGGTTTTATCGGTCAACTTCCCGGGAAGTAAAGGTAGTTCCAATAGAGAGCTATCATGTGATTCTGGTACCAGGACAAATTGGAATGTTTTTGCATTTCATTGTAGCACATAGAAAACGTAAATAAAGACTAGAAGTCAGTAGTTGCAGTTCGTCTGGGGTCAACACAACGAAGGTTCGTGTTATACAGGGTATTTTGTCTTTAGTCGGTTTGGAGTTCTTTAACATCTGCAGTGGACACCACAATAAGTGCTGCTACCACAGTCGGCTTCGCTTGCGGAGCCAGCAGAGGCATCGACATGACTGGCGCTTCTTGCCCGCTTAGTTTTGGTTTGAAGCCATGTACGAAAGAATGACATTTTCTGCCCCATAGTGCCCAGTACGAATTTTTTAATAGAAGTTTCATGGCCTGGCTAGACCGTAGATCATATGGAGGTCGAGCATTGATTCTCCAAATACATTATGCATTCAAAAATGAAAATATAAATGGTTAATTGAAACTTTTTAGTTAATTAGCAAAGTGATTACCCCTGTCATCTCTTTTAGTGGCCACCGTGGCCGCCAATTGACCCCATGGCTAAAAAGCCCCAATAGAAAGTCCCTTTTTTTAAAATTCGGGGCAGTCTAAAATAAAAACACCATTTATGTGCCATTGCCGAAGAAGGCGTGTAATTGATGGGACATGACCTAAACTTGCAGCCCATGGCACGTACCCTCCAGTGGATTTTCGCGGAGAAGCAATCACGTTCAAGGCGACGACGGCCGGCATCCTGGCAACTCTGTCTCACTGCATCGACCTCATGGCTCAGCGGGAGGATGCGTGGAAACGCAAGCTGGAGCGGGTGAGATACCACTTTTTCATCAGATTAAGTAAGACGAATTGATCCTTTTATGCGCGGGTTTTTTTTCTTACAAGTATGGTATCACATAAAAAATAATTGATGTCATTTCGGAAGGTGTGTATGGAATGTTCATGAGCTTGCAAGACTGCTGTTTATCTGAGATATCTGTTTATAGAGTCAAATAGCTGAGGGGTTTGATGCACCCCTCCACAAATTGTCTTCTTAGTATTTGTGGCTTATTTTCTAAGTTCTATCACTCTGCTGAGTGTAAGTGCAGCTTAAGCCGCTTTCAAAGCGAGCTGCTAATTTATTTATTTATTAATTCACAATACTGCTAGCCCTCTCAGAAATGTTCATTTTGGAACAAACAAAAGAAGAGAAAAAAGAACAAGAACTGTACAAGAACCAATCACCACAAATTGCTTGCATGGGTTTATATAGGTGCAAAAATTCCTCCCAGATTCGTGCAATCCAGCAACGCTAAATGGCAAATCTGACTTCATTTGTTGCAGCGAAGCTGGCGAACTACAGACGCAAACACAACTGCAACCCTCGTAGCCATGTTAATCTAAGAAGCAACAGGATGCGTGTGAGGGAAACGGTGTGCAGAAACCTTTCTCCCGTCACTGACAGCTGAAAATACTGCATGCTTATTACGTGTATTCTTATGCTTATCTTTTGGAGCTCTTTTTGCAGAAACCATATTCACTGAGTTCTTGTCCGACTCTTGTCATGAATACGCGAAAACGAAAATCAGAAGCATCCCCCGTTTATGCAGCATCTTAATTAGCGCGCCGCACTACACTTTCGTTTGCACGTGGCTTGTCGCTTTCAAAACGAGGAGGACTTTGCTGCTTGTCACTTTGAGACCAAGGACCGGGCAGAGGGCCGTGCTTATCTTATCTCTATCTTCTCTTCTCCAGTTTTCCACGCCGCTGGTGCAAAACTCGTCTGTCGGGGGAGGGGAATCAGATAGAACGGTGCTCTCAGTGGCATCACGTTTTTCCTCGGTTGGCTCCCGTGACTGATTAGACGCACAGTCTCGAGTTCGCGGGTGCAACGCCGATGATGGCTCCGCTTTGCCAGCGCCGCTTCTCCGCCAAGTTGGCCAGGCTCTGCTCATGCGTCCTGGTGTGCCAGATTGGCTGCCCGGAGTCCGAAGCGGCAGAGGTAGTCTCTCTGTCATCGCGCGGCAGTGCGGCGGCGTCGTGTTACGGGTCTTTAAATGTCACCTTCGGCTTTACTTTTCTTGTTTTGCATTGTTGCTTGGTGATGCATCTAGTTCAGGGTTTGCTTCGCTGCCTTTAGCGTCAGTTGCAGTTCCGTGCTGCGCTATTCATGGTTTGGCCAAGCACTGGGAAAAACACGTGGCGTTGTGTTCGTGTCTGCGGCAGAGAGCATGTTTGGGCTTTGTGCATTTGCATACTTCTAAACCATAACTTGCCTAGATCCTCTTTTATTTTTTTTAATGGTTTTGTGGTAGTTGTGCTTCGTTAGTGGCGGACTTGATCGTCTCGTTGAATTGCTGTGATGAATGGACTTCGGGTGTTTAACAGATCTCAGGCAGTTGCGATTGCTCCTGACAGAAACTTGAACCCAAGCCAGAAAGAACAAAGAAAAAAAAAATGTGGAGGTCATTATATCTCAAGGTCTGGACGACATATAGCTGGGGGTCCTGTTTGTCCGTTTTTGTTGTTCGTAGATGCCTTGTTTTGTCAGAGATTATCTTGCGATTCAACAAAATCTTTTTCTAGTTGGAGGCCTCATTCATTACGTATCTATCTATTTCTTAAGTTGTGTCAAGTTCAGTGGTTTAAAGCTAGTCTATCTTGATACGAATACATTTTTATACTTCTTTTTGCGAGCCATAGAAACTTAAATTGTGAATGCCGTTCAGTGGTGCAAGCTATACTTTCGTTTTTATGATGTTAAGAAAGAACATTCTTAACATTTCTGGGTACTCGTTAAAGTACCCAGAAAAAAAAAAGTTGCAAAAAAAGTAATTTAAAAAAATGTCATATTACATCCACCAACATCTAAAGCATTCCCAGAAAGTTCCAATGGTTTAGACTGGATAGTTACTATTTTTTTATCAATAATTTTCGGTCCACTGATGCTAAAGAAAAGGCAGAGGTTGGAGCACTATGAACGCGTTTTTCTCCGTTTAACTTTTTGGCATAAATTTTACTTTAGGAAAACTTGTTTTTTGACGGGGCGAAAAAAAGACTCGCTAATTTTTTTCTTAATTGGAATTTAATGGGAAATGCAACTGTGGTATACTTTTTTTACTTTGTGGATGTCTTTTATAAAAGATGGTAAGATTTTGTCGACGACATAAAAGGGTAAAAAAAATTTATTCGATTTTTCACTGCAATGTTAGCATAAAATAAATTACTTTTTGGATTTTTTTTTTTTTTTTTCACAGTTCACTCTTTAGGCATTTTGCTGCGTATCTAGTGAAGAAAAACTCTGGGTTTTACAAAAGATTTCTAACAATAGTTTTTCTAAACAAAGTCAGTGTGTTCCTGATAAAAGCGACTAATTTATTTTACAATTCATGTATGCAGATGAAACTTGCACTGCATTTTGCCTTGCAACTGCCACTATATACTGTAAATTTAGTTCACATTAAGCCAAAGGTTCAGACATTGACCCTTTTGGGTAGTTTCACTCCTTAATGATGAATTCCCTCACCGACAACCGCCCCAAATTTCGTACTCAAAAGGCAAAAAATATAGTTGCGGGTTTCAGTCGTTGTGGCTTTTTACTAAACGTCCTGGGAGGACATTTACGCAAAAAGGTCTTTGTTTCGAGGTCCTGCAGTAATTCTCCGCATTGATTTGGAAGTCTGAGTGACGGTTGTGCGGCGACTTTGCGATTGGTTTCATTCAGTGTTTGACGACTGAGAGTCTGGCACCTGTGGTACGGTGAACGGCTTAGGTTGACCGTACCCTATTCTTGTCTTGACTGTCCTATTGTACCTTAAGACATATTGACCGTACCCTACTGCTAGTGATCGTGCCTTGTGCCGTGGAACTTCGTGTTAATTTAGGCTCCTCTTCTTGCCTCAGGAGGTTGATAAACGAAAGAAGCTCGAAGAAGGCTACAAGCAGGCTGTCTCCGAGGCTAGGTCCCAGCCTGCAGTGGTGCTCGGAGGTCCCGACTATGAGGTGGGTCTCGGTAATGATGTAAGTTGCTTCTGCGGGGCTCGTGTTCTTATTTTGAAGTTGGGGCCTTCCTCATTAAAGTACAGTACATTGAAGTTATGGATATTGTTAAGCAAAATTGTAGCATGCCTGCAATACTGGTACGGTCATCTAAGTTATTGATGTAGCAAAGAACAATGTTGTAGAGATGTCTTGCTAAAAAACTGGCATTACTGTAGAGAGGTGGTAGAACTGTGTCTAACATATCTTATTCCTAGGGTTACCCACATTCTGTTTGGTCTAGTTTATAGAGTAACCTTGGCTTGGGAAGTAGCCATGATTCAATTTTGTGCTCTATATCTTAGAGGTGGTGGCAGCCTCATATAAAAGACGATAACATTTCTTGTGCATGCTGTCATTAGGTGAGGATACTCAGTGGCGCACGTCATTTCTTCGCCTATACTAGCCGTCCTGGGGGGCACGCTTGCATTTCAGAAAGTAGCCAAATCTTAAAAAGTGAGCTCCGACTGGACTTGTCCGTTGAAATCGGAGAATGTTTCATTGGCAAGTCCCCAATTAAAATGCAATAGTCCTCTTCAAGCAAGCTGCCATTAGGAAAGGGGGTATCAACCCAATCAACACCCCTTTGACTGACCTCGAAGCGAGCACGCAGTAACCATTCTTAAGGACGCCCTCACATTGAGGAATTTCCCTTGCACTGTGTGTAGCAATGCCGGAGCCAACTCCCATGCAGGCAAACCGTTGGGCGTGAAAACCCGGCGTCTTTTAAGAGCGGTCCAACCGGGTTTCAAAAGTCCGCGCCGTCCCGAGCTCTAGGGGTACCCTCGTCACCGAACATTAAACGCAACCTGTCGGAGTCTTGTTAGCCATCGTTTGTTTAGATTACCGTAATGTCCGGAGAGACTGCCCTCCCGAAAGCAAGAGCAAAGGGGACGAAAACGAGGGGTAAACTAACTTTCGGTCTGTGATCGCGAAAAACTATTATGAAAAATGCTGTTTTCGTGTTCAGACCTGCCAAACTTGTTTTCTCACATTGAGGGGCGACGGAGCATAGATAACCGTCCTTCTTGGTCGGCAATGTTTGCTTGTCTCCCACCGTAGCTAACCAACCCTGTTTTGGCCGAGGTCACTACTGGTCGGGACACTGCAATTATTAAAAATAAGCTATCTTTCCGTGTTTTCCAACATATACAGTAAAACCCATTTACAACGAACCCACGTACAGCGAATTATTGGCGATATCAAACTCACGAAAGATTTAAATAAAAATGCATGTAAAAAGTATGTTTTATAACGAACAACATATTGGTTATATCTAACTTTTCACCCCCGGGAAGGCTTCCGAAAACGCGAAAACAATCGTCTTCTAGCCCGTCCCGTCCACCAAAAAAGAAGTAGGAAAGAACAAAAATTCCAAAAACTCAAGTTGCGAACCAAATTCAGCGAAAAGAATTGTAACTCAGAAAGGGGAAAAGCTAAAAAAAAAAAAAATACACTGCACGCACGCACAGAAAGAAAAAAATCTTTCCACCCCAAAGCGTTGGACCATGAAGAGAAGCGACTCAAAAAAAAGACAAGATTTAAAAAAAAAAAAATCTACGCGGCATGCAAAAAAAAAAAACAACAAAAAAAAAAAAAACTTTTTAGCACGTTGTTACAAGGCGGAAGGAAGAGGTGAGAAAGAAAGAGTAGGCTCTCGCCTTACAAGGAACTCATCGTGGAAGTTCGTTGTAAATGTTTATTTTTTTTTTGCTATATCGAACTACTTGCTATATCGAACTGATTGTAGCGCTTCCTGCTGTTCATTATAAATGGGTTTGACTGTATATAAAGAAAAAAAGCAAATTGTGTTAAAAATAGGGTGTATTATCTTTTGGGAAATTATGGTAGTGAGTTTGTTTAGGTAAGGCGACTCCTGGATTGAGTTATGTCCCAATAAAAGCTTTCGAGCAAGAGGGGAGGGGACGTGGCGCCTGTTTGCGAGGTTTCCGTCGTGTCCTGCAAGCCTAACCCGACGTGGACTTTTGCAGGAGGGACCGCACAGCATGATCAATGAAGAAGAGTTCTACGACGCCATTGACGCTGCCCTGGACCGCAACGAGCAGCAGGAGGAGGAACGGGTGGGGGCAAGTTTGCCGGGACCCTTGGGGTTTCCGGTGTACTTCTGTCTCTTGTGCATGCGATCTGCCTGCAAAGGCTGCACTTGCCACTTAAAGTAGAATCTCAATGATACGTATCTTGCGGGATTGCGAAAAATATTTATATAATTCGAACTTCGTATGAACGAAAAACAAGTCACAAAAGTACATGAAAGCAAAGCGGGAGGTACTTGCCGTTTATTGGTCACACTCCCAGCCAAAAAAGGCAGTAATGTTCTTTTTTTCAATATCACCCAGGAGACAGTTTTGCAACGTGTAAAAACGTTCCAAAACGCCTTTGCCAAATCCTTGCGTTTTCTTTTAGGGTCCTTGTCCTCTTTCTTCAGAACTTCCGGCTTCTCTGTGAAGGACAGCGATTTTCTCTTGCGAGACATGTTAAATCAGGTCACAAGTCTACGCTGGACAGACGATGCAGAATGAGGGATATCCTCCCGCAAGTTTATTGATGAAAATCGCACGGAGTTCTACAGACGTGCACATACGCGTGCTAACAAAGGATGCTTGCTTGTTGACATTGACGTCATCAACGCCGATTCCGAATGTCAGTTCTGGTGTCACTCGAGTGACTGAGAGTTGCTAAAACCCCTAAAACCCGTTTTAAAGCAGCAACCCTGGAGTAGGTGAATGCGAGTTACTCAAGCAATCTGCATTTTAATCACGTGACAACACAGATAGCGCGGCAACGGTAGACGTGGGTATGTTTTCGAGTTTTGGAACGCAGCCGCGAATATTATGATTGGGGCGCGTATGTAGAAAGTACGGCAAGAAAAATAACGCAAAATTGGCGGCTACGGTTGTTGGAGCCAAGTGATGCCGCCCAAAAAGACGTGTAAACATTTTCGATCATTGTTTATATGATCCACCGTGGCCCGATGAAGCATTCGGAGTATCCCGAAACGTAATACATTAGTGTTAAGGGACTTTGGCCGGGGATTTTGAAAAATTTGTATTATCCCGAAATTCGGATGAACTGGGATCATATCATCGAGATTCTACTGTAATAGCTTTAGTAAGCGTTCCCGCCGCGGAAACATACGTGTGGCTAAGATGCATTCCACAGGTTCGAGATTATGATTCGTCGTGGTTCAGAATTGAGCGAGACACAGACAAAGTTTATGGGCAGGCTGGAATAGCACTGGAGGGGTAGCGCACCTTGTTTTCCTGTGTTAACCTGTTTGGGTCAACGCGGAGCGCAAGTTTGTCTGCTTCTTTTGCAGGCATTGCGGTGACGTCGGAACGCCAAGCTCAGATTGTCTCTGATTGAAGGATAGTGGGTAGACCTCAAAGCAAGCTGCCTTAAGGTCTACCCCAGGGTTTAAGATAGACAGGTGGGGAAGCGAGAGCCAAATGAGCGACCGGATTGTGTCCCCCTCGGTTTTCTCTTTTTCTGTGGCGCCATCTATGTGGAGCACCGCGAACTCTCACTCCGGGTGGGCGACCGGTGGCGACCGGCTAAACTGACGGAGATGATTTCTCTTGGATTTTCAATGAAGGAATGTCGTGCTCTCGGTTTATTTTGCGCACTCTCCCATAAAGTTCCATGCAAATTCGAATCTGATTTTTTTCCTCTCGCCGCAGCGCCATCTGTCGCAAATCGGGGGTACCCGCAAGCAGACGAGTACACAATCCGGTCACGGCGTTGCGGTAGGCTTCTATGGGCAGTTTCCCCACCTGTCTATCTTACACCCTGGTCTACCCCCTATCCTTCAATCGGAGCTCGGCATTCTGAAGTCACCACTATCCTTCAATCGAAGCCAATCAGAGCTCGGCTTCCTGACGTCACCACAACCCCTGCAAAAGAAGCAGACAGTGTTGCGCTCCGGAGTGCAACGAAATGCTTGTGTCACTTTTGGACCACCTTATTTTCCAGTCTATACAAATCGCAGCCGCCTATAAATGGCCGTTTCTCTTCTTTTTTTTTTTTTAATGTTGGTATATAAGTTGCACTTTTGTACATGTATGTCGCACTTGCATATTAGTACGGTCAGAGTGGCAAAACTGCGTTGTTAAGCCTGCATATGTATAATAGCGTGATCGCTATATATGCGCAAGCGGGATCCAGTATATTCTCACCAACAAATCTTGCGAGAAACATAAATAACGCTTGTGGCAAATTTACAGATATAAAAAAAGGCATACAAGATGCACCGACAGAAATTTATGGAAAAATAAATGTGACTTGTATGTTGGAAATTATGGTAATTGTGTCACAGTGCACATATATACTTAGAAGAAGAAAAAAAAAACGTGCAAAACACTGACGGAGATTGTTCAGAAAAAAAAAAGTGAGTTGTACATTGGAAAATGCGGCAATTGTGTCACATAGTGCACATTGCTACAGATCCGACATCTGTGCAGCCGATATGCACGTTCGAAAAGAATATATATATATATATATATTTTTTTTTAAATCTGACTCGTTTACATTGTTTTCTAGTCGAAGTTTCTTTTCTTTTTTTTTATATACGTACTATACTTTGTTGCTCTACTTCGAAATTGATGAGTCCTATTTTTCATGCAGCGTCAGATCAAGAACAGGGTACGAGAACTGCTACGTCCATCGTCTGTGGCTTCCCAGCATCCTCTTTGGAGCGAGGTAGGCTCTCATTTGTTTAACTGGGGTGCTCGTATGTTCAGGTTCATGGTCACCGTTGCGCTTGTCTCGAACCATGATCCCACTAAACCATTCCCCGCTTGTATGTCATTCGATGAACCGAATTCATGCTCAATGGAACAGTTCCATTCGGTATTGAAACAAAAGTGCATGCAGTGCGTTCTCTTATATTCTCACTCATTTCCACGAGTGATCCGCTGTCAAGATGTTTTAGAAATGGGTATGGTACAGCTCGAGCGAACGGGACATGATTGCAGTGAAACAAGGAAGCAGAACTGAGACCGCCCCCCCCCCCCCCCCCCCCCCCAAAAAAAAAAAGAAGCTGCACGTGCAAGTTGACACACTGTTGCCTCACGTACGGCAAGTTTGACCCTAATCGCCACGAGATCGAACTTCATCAGCAATGTGTGGATAGAAAGACGACTGCCCCATAGGCTATCTGTGGTCGCGGCCAAGAATATGCGGAATATTGCATTTATTTCCTCGTACAGTATCATTGTGGAAGCAATTTTAACGGAAAATGGTCCGATACTGTTTATCGCTTCAGTGCAATACCTATTGCACCGAGGTGAAGGTCAGTTTTCACTGATGTCCAGCAGCCGGCACGCTGAAGATTGAGTGGGTCTCAAAGTTGAGATCTGCAAAGGAGCCTTCGATTCACACGATGGTTTGCTCTAAACATTTTACCGAAGAAGACTTCAAACCAACGATTAATGACGACCGAAGTAAGTGGAAAAAGAAAACTGTTTACATAAGTGTCACAAGTGGCCCAAGGAAGAGTATGCGTAAAGCGTGCACGTTAATACTCGCTCGCTGCTGGTCAGTGTGATTTTTTAATGTGGGCTCTTCTGCTGCGGTATTTTTAGAAAGGATGCGAATGCCACAAAGTTATTACTGTGTGAAAATCCGACTTTCGAAACAATGTGGGATTGTCACTCCTTTGAGCCCCCCTACACTATGACACAGTAAAGGAGACATAGACTGCAGTGGAAGTGACTTGCTCAGTCAGTGTCTGTGTGTGTGTTGGATGCACCTGATCAATTTACTTGAAGTTCGGTTGGAAGTATGCAGTACATAGCTCTGATGGCAACTGGTCAATCTACCGAAGGAGCAACAGGGACTATTAAGCCTAATCAATTGCTTGTTTACACTCCATGAATTTTGCTTACCCTCCGCGTGACGAAGGCTTCGTGCCACTTTGCTTGAAAAACTAATTTTTAGCGGCAAATCACGCTACATGAAAACGGCATGATTATATCTAAGGTTAACAGGTCACCAAAGGACATGGGTGCCATGTATAGAGCTCGAGCCATTGTTTTCCTGAAGTGACTGCATCGCCTACTGCAAAACCCTTTGCAAGCCCTCAATTTTCGAGAATTACAAAAGTAGCAAAAAATAAAGGCACGCATACCTCTCTTGTATGGAGGCCAGAATTCAAGTCTATAGGATTTGTGAGAGTTAGCAGCCGCGAATAGGTTCCTATGCCTAGTTTGCGAATAATTGGGACTGCAAAAATAGAAGCGTTTAAACAATCGAGTGGACTAGCGTGCGATTCTCTCAAAGACGTTTCTGGTGGTTGGAGTTGCAAATAACAGTTAGCCGGCAGGGCAAGTGCATGAAAGTTCATTAGTCGTGGCACCGTTCGTGAGTTGCAAATCCACAGTGTGGGGATCCTTGCCGAGTTCCAACGACTGCAGCACATAACTCTGCACGTGTACGCTCTTCGACGTGGTCGTTGGGGCCACAACGCTGCACTCAATAATGTGCCCGGCATTCACAAGTTGTACGACTTTGACAAGGCACTGGTTGCTGTCGGCAGTGTACTCAATGATAGTATGCAATGGCACTGAAACTGAAACAAAGAACCGCATCACAACACCAACCACAGTAGCAACACTATAAAGGCCCGTTCACACTCTTGCGACCGAGTACGACTGAGAGAGACGAGATCTCTTACAACTTCTTAAATGTTTTTAGAATGAGGGAACACACTGACATTGTGGCCCCATCTATGCGGTGACCCTGGAACTGCATTTCACAAGAGCGAAGGTTTTGCAGGATTTTCGAGGTCAAATGTGCGTAATACCCATAGAAAGGCTCGTTTATAACATTGTCAAAAGTTTTTCGAGCCAACAAAGAAAGGATAATGCTCGAGAAATAAAAAAAAATATGCCGGACCGCCGAGTTTACACTGCTTCTCAATAGATGGCGCCAGTGTGTTTTCTGGTTTAACAAGTTTTAAGGAACCCAGGTTTAAGAGGTCGCAAGCAGTCGCAAGAGTGTGAACGGGCCTTAAAGGTATCCGGCATGGCATTCCTTGCCTTCGCGTATTTCCATGCTCGTGAAACGATACAATCTTTTCGAAAAAACAAGCCTTCGTCGTCGTGAGGATCCATGCTTTATCGTGTGCTGAGAGCAGACAACGTGCGGCAGTATCCACACTCGTAGTGCTTCCAACATCGACCGCACGGTGGCGACTCTGTTCGATCTCGAGGCAAAAAGGCTGGTTCACACATCTACGCTGGTTGTGTTCGCTTGCAACCGTAACGGCAGTCACCGGAAGAAGTGTTTGCCATGCACAGCAATGGCAAGTGATGCAAGGGGTAGCTTCGCAAAGCAATCCATGGGTCACGGTTGCAGTGTTTTGGTCGCATGCAACCGAAACGACCGTAACGAACGCAAACATTGCAAATGTGTGAACCGACCTAAACTGTCGCTGGTCGTTGGCTGTACTCTGTGGGTCGTGTTTTGATGGTTCGTTACAACTAGGATCGTGCAGATGTCGTCTCGATTTGGCCGAAGCTGGCACACATTTTGCACTCGATACATAATGCCGGCAACACCGCTCCTAATCGAGAGGAAAATTGGCGAGTCCTTCGCAGGGGGGGGGAGAGAGGGGAAAAGGTGGGGGGTGATGTTTTTAGTTTTTTTTGTCCACTTCCCTGAAGGTCATCCTGGGGATATCCTGCACTGCTTGGTGATAGTTACAGAAATGCAGAGGGGATGAGCAACTGGCTAATTGGCTTAGAGGGGCAAGGGTAGGAATCACCCTTTTGGTTTGTAGGCAAGGTGGCACGAGCTACTGCCCATTAATAAAGGGTACAAGTTACAACCATTAGCATGGGAGCCGTGTATAGGGAGAGTTTGGTCAATGGGAGGTGCGGGCAGAGCCCAGGCGTGCACCAGTCTCGGAAAGAGAGCTTGGCATGCTCTCTTGACCAACTAGAAGCAAAAAAAAAATCCCCTAGCGGTGGTAGCGCCAAACAGGTCTGATCAAAGGTATATGTTTGTATATAGTTCTAATAAGCGCGTAAGAGTGAAGTGTAGCAACTTTTTGTGGTTGAAAATACGGTGCACGTGATGTTTCGATCATGATCATGTAGAAAGATGTAAGAAACTAATGTGCCGCTCAACTCTGTTTTGCTCGGACAGAGTGTGACCGCTCGGACGGCAAATTCCCGGCCCTTGCTAGTCGCGCTCTTCCACCATCATTTTGGATGAGCGTGATTGAAACGTCACGTGTGCCATATTTTCAGTCACCGAGAGTTACTCCGATGCACTTGTCAGGTTTGTTTCTCACGACCACCGCCAGGGTATTATTTCTGGCTTCTGGTTGGTCACATTCGAATTTCTCAAGACGTCCTGGAACACGCCCAGCTCACTTTCGGCCAATGGCGACTCCCCATTTGTCTCCTATATTTTCCAACGAATGGCCAAACTCTCTACACATACGGCTCTGATTAGCATCCATACATCCATCCATCCAACTTGAATGCAGAATATGCCGTTTTCGAGGAGCTTGTGAGAATGGATGAGAGTGTTTGTCGCTCCTGTTGCAGGTGGAGGCGGTGACGATGGAGCAGCTCCGCTACGCCAAGATGGGGGTGGGGGAGGGGGGCTGGCAGCTGTTTGCCGAGGACGGGGAGATGAAGATGTACCGGCGAGAGGTGGAGGAGGCCGGTGTGGTGTGCGACCCGCTCAAGGCCGTCCACGTGGTCAGGGGGGTCACCGGCAGGGAGGTGTGCCACTACTTCTTCAGCCCAGAAGTCCGCTTCGACTGGGAGAGTGAGTGTTGCCCCACCCTTGCCCTGTTCTGTCTCCTTGGATTGGATTGGCCGGAGGGTTTGACTGGGAGAGCGAGTGCCGCACTGGTCTGTATGCCCGGGTTGGATTGGGGTAAGGGTTTGGCTGGGAGAGTGTCTTGGACTGAACTGATGTGGAGGCGACGTGACTTGACAAAATCGTCAAGTCGTTTCATCTCAAGGATACTATTTTTAATTAACTTTCTAGTTAATGAAGATAAACCTGGTTCCAATTAGAAAGTTGCTGAGCGTCATCGAAAACCGCTAAATTATTCAATTTTAGAAACTACGCAGGGGGTTCGCAAAAGTTACGACATGCGCAAAAGTTACGACTTGCGCAACAGGTGCAAGGCTGGTGGTGCACAAACGAAATTGACTATATGTTTACTTTCACTAATTAAAAAGCTAATAACAGATTTTAGGTAATGAAGCGACTTGTGATGTTTTGCTCCTATAAATAGACTCACTCATTCAAACTCCATGAAGCCACAAATTTTGTTTGAATTATCGGAAATTTAATTACCAGAAATTTATCTAAATCCGATGCAAGATAAAATTTATTTGTTATATGGATGACTACACATACAAAGCAGATGTATGATGATTTCCTATACAAAGGCCCATCGATCCTAAGCAGGTATGCCACACATGAAACGATGGAATTGAAGTTGAATGCCCCGCATGTAATAAGCCCCATAGACCCTGGTTAATTGATTTTCATTGGGCTTGTGTAGTACAAACTGGTGGACGCGTAAGAGTGTTGCTTCTCCAACCGTGTGACGAGCAGCGACCTTGGAGAACATGGAGGTGCTGGAGGTGGTGGAGCCCCTGACTGTCATCGTGCACCAGATCCACAAGCGGGTGTGGCCGGCCACCCAGCGGGACGCCCTGTTCTGGTCCCACATGGCCCGGGCCCCCAACGTGGAGGACCCCGACGCGCACGACGTCTGGATCGTCTGCAACCACTCGTGCGACACCCCGCCTGTGCCTGTGAGTCTACCTCACCATCCTGAGAGAGCCCGCCTAAAATCGATAGCAAATCGGATGAAAATAAGGGGTAGGTAGGCTTACTTTTGGTGTGTCATAAAAAAAATGAAGTTAAAATAAATGCTAGTTTTAATTTTTGTGACCCTCGAAACTTGTGATTGCAGGACTACTGTCCTTCCTAGTCGGCAATGTTCGACTAGAAGTGGGCTATCTTTCAGCATTTCTTTCAAAAATGGCAAATTGGGCCAAAAATGGAGAGGGTCTAGCTTTTGGGGATATTACGGTACTCTTGCTCGGAAGCATGCTGTTCAAAACGCGTCTCTACAGTTGAAGGGGCAGTGCAACGAGTTTTAATTCAGATATTGCTCGGAACGAATCCCAAACGTTTGTAACCTATGAAACACGCATTAGTTTTTCTCCTCGCGCAATACAGTGGAACCTCGATTATGCGACATTCCGCATTTTATGACGAATTTTCCCGGTCTCGACAAACTCCTTATAGAAATAGTGTATTAAAAGTTCAGTTTACACAACGCGCGATTTTACGTGTCCCGCGTCATACGACGTTCCGGCGGGAAACGCGCCACGAATTCAACAGCTGCATGAGGAGGGGGGGGCAGCGGCACGGCAACGCAAAAGGCTTCTGCGCGCCGTTTCATAGGGTATAAAAACACGTCGCCGGCAGCCCTAGACAGTTGCAGCGCCAGGAGGGAGCAGGAGACTGCGCTTTCCCCTCTCCTCCCCGGGTTGTGAAATGCCTCGGCGTTTTCGCGTTGCATCCATGCTCCGCTCATTCCATCGTTCTCTCGTCTCGTTTACCCTTGTTCTCCTCTGAGCGCAACTTTCTCCAACTCGTTTCTTCTCCCAGGATAGAACACGTTTCCACTGGTTCCTGCTGCTCTGCTTTCGGAAAGCATGAAAAGCGATAAGCGTCGCGATCGTGCACGCTGGCAAACAATGTTTGTTTGTTTGCGAGGGTATGCAAACTGTTTTGACGGTTTGTTTGCACCCACGACGGCGTCACTAGTCTGCTTCCAGAGCTTGCGGCCTTTGAAAGGAAGCTATTGTTGCGTGACCTAAAGTCTAGCAGGCAATGACTGATTTCTTATGAGGTAAGAATAAAGTTACTTGCGCCTTTACCGCACAATTCTACGGTTTCGTTTCAGTTTGTTCCGACGGTTTTTGCTTTGTCGAAGTACAGCAGATTATTAGCTTAGACATCATTTACAACCTCCACTTGCCTTTTTTGCGCGAGGCCGATCACTGTATCCGTAATTACAGTTTTTTCGGATGAAACGACCTGTGGTATATACGATTTCACGCAGTCCCGCAAAAGTCATATAATCGGGGTTCCACTGTACTAGTTGTGATGAAAAAAAAACTAACAGCGTTTAACCCCCCTTACTTGTACCAGAACAGGCAGCTACGTGGTCTGGGACCGACTGTGTGCCACCAGCATTAATCGTAGCCACACACCGGGGTTGGCATAACATGGGAATGCGCGCCGAGTTCCGGACGTTGTTATGGTTTGGCCATTGTCATTGCAGCGATTTGACATGAGCCACTACCCGAATGCTCGTTGAGTCGTCGATTGTCACGAGCCAAAATGGAGCACTCGTGCAATGCTGGGGTTCATTCTACGAGCCGCATTCAGATATCATAGCTCGCGGTGGACCGTGACAACACTGCGACCTCTGAACGAAGTCATGAACTCTTATGGAGAAGAGATGGAAAGAAAACGCTCGCTTTTGTCCTCGAAATTACGCCGTGACAAAGGAATCTTTCGGCCAATGACGTTGCGTAGAAGCTTCTGAATGTGAACACCCTTGCTCCCCCAAAAAATCATTCGTAAAGCGAGTTGTCCGTAATAAACAAGGCAAAAATATGCATATTTACCAAGTTCGTCCCGGAAAATAATCTCTATAGCGCGGTGTCCACATCGACGGGACACAACTCTAACCAGACTCACGTTGCAACTGGTTCCGAAGTATCAAGAAACGACGTTGCGGGGGGGGGGGGGGGGGGGCGTTATGCCGTCTGTTGGAGGTCGCTGTTCCGGCGGTTGAGCATGAAAGTTCCGGCAAAAAGTGTGAGCGAGTGCCGTCATCGTCGCTGCATTCCGTTTTGTTGGCAACACTGTACTAGGGCGAGGTAGAAGGGGAGGTGTGAATTCGACTTTTTTACACCAACCGTGCAGCAGTTGTCACAGTCTTGATCCGTACGTCTGGATCACGCAGCTTGGCAAGTGCGTGCGGGTGCGGCTGACCGTATGCCTAATGTGCCAGACGTTTGTGGACCCCCCCCAGCCCAACAGCGAGATTACCCGGGATAACCTCTCCTGCAAGATCACCTACTGCTCCACCAGTGAGTGTGGCCTGTTTTATACCCCGTAGCCTGCAGCAAGTTTAGAATTCGGTAGGAGTCCCGCCTCCTGCAAGTGCCCGTTGCCTTTTGCCGGGCTCTAGCTATGCTTGCGACGAAGTGTTATCAAAAGCAGTGAGCTCGCTCTGAAGGCGGAGCATCTACCGAATCCTTAACACGTTGCCGAATATTATCCGTCACTGCCCGTCTGCTTCGGTAAGCGGGTTTCTTGCATGCGGAAGAAACCCTCTGCAGTTTCGTTGTGCAAGTCGTGTTGTTCGAAAGGTGGAGGAATGGGGGGCCTAACATTCCAAACCCCCAAAATTTGCCTGGCTATTTAAAATAGTGCCATCAGAGATGCCACTCTACCAAGTATGAACATCCGAGAATGCAGCGAGCTAAATTTAATTTGTACATTCTGCAAAAAGGTTCTACTACTCTACAACAAGGTTAAAGGGGCACTGAAGTCATTTTTTAAAAAAGTCTTTATGATCTTATATTGTTTAAAAGGTAGTTCCCGCATATACAAAGTCGTATATTACAAAACCACCTATTCGTCTCGGGGCAAGAGAAAAACGTGGACTCTTTTTCCTCGCGAACTACACTGTGTGGACCAAGGAAAGCTCTATAATACGTGCAGATTCCGAATGACTTTATCATAACTCCTTTCGAAGAGAGTGTGATAGGTACACATTCAGATACGACTCCTCTTTTTCTTTGCGGGCGAAGCCATTGCTTGCAACTCGCCGACAAGCGCCCTTCGTCGACCACTTCACTCGGAAGAAAATTCTTCCCAAAAAGGGAGTGTCGCAATCTTTGAACACACTTTTAACGAGGAAATAAGCAACGCACGATCGTGATTTCGGGTTTGGGATGCTTAGAGCAGCTAGATTAAGTTATCAACACAAAAGGACGATCTCAGAACCGACTTCAGTGCCCCTTTAAGTGTGGATGGATTCTTTTTCTCGGAATGGCTACTCGTGGGGAAACTTCCAACTTGTCTGCAAAGCTGAAGAGATTTTTTAGCATAAAATACATTTTCGGCAAAGATAATTTGCTGGAAACGTAAGACGCTGTGGCATTACAATCGAGAAAACACGAGAAAACAATGGTGCAACTGCTGCAAGAGGGCTCCCTTGTGGGTGATGCCCTACTCCCATTGGCTGGTGTAAGCAATTGTGTGACCATAGCAAAAACCAATTGCATTCTTGTCGGAAGTCGCAATACGATTGCACCAGGGTTTGCCGACCCAAAAACGTATTCTGTGACGATTTTGTTGGGCACAACCAAAGTACTGCCGCAAATACTTTTAGCGGGGGTACCCTTTTCTTTCTCTTCCAGTCAACCCAGGCGGCTGGGCGCCAGCATCGGTCTTGCGTGCTGTCTACAAGAGAGAGTACCCCAAGTTCCTCAAGCGTTTTACGCAGTACGTCAAGGACCAGACAGAGTGCAAGCCCATCCTGTTCTAGCTGAGAGCAGAAACCAATGCCCCCCAACCCGAACCTTCAAGAACATGAATGGGAGTAGCCAGATGGGCTACTACCTTCAAGCGGAGAAGAAAGGCCAGCGGCAACAACATCGGGTCCAAAAGAATGCGGTCGTCTTGGTCTTTCGGGCAGTCACGCACGAGTGGTGTAGTCCAATGCTTTTCCTACGACCATGCACAATTGCCCACTGGGTAAGGCTACCCCCTTTGTTTCTAAATCGAGGGGAGTAGCCTTAGTTAGGGAACATCCGAGTAATCACACTTGGAGCTGTTGTGCATAAGCAGTTGCTGGATGAGCTTCAACTAGGGAACGTGGAGCTACTCTCGGGTTAAAGGGAAAGGCCACCCTCTTTGTCCTCAGATCAGGGGGAGTAGTCTTGGGGAACATCTGAGAGGTGTTGTGCACGTGCAATTACTTGCTGGATGAGCTTAAACTGGGGGACTAGAGGCTACTCTCATATTAAAGGGAAAGGCTACCCTTTAACCCCAGATCGAAGGAACACCTAAGTTGTGTTGTGCAAGTGTGGTTACTTGCTGAATGACCCTGAACTGGATAAGAGGCAAGCTTATTCTCAGGTCAAAAGGAAAGGCTACACCCCTTTACTCTCCTTGTCCTTAAATCAAGGAGTAGCCTTAGTTGGAGAACATCTGAGAGGGCTGTCGTGAATGTGCAGTTGATTGCTGGATGAGCCTAAAGTGGGGCACAAGGTTATTCTCGGGTCAAAGGGAAAGGCTACCCCCCTTTTGTCCCTAAATCAAGAAGAGTAGCCTTATTTGGGAAACATCCGAAAGGTGGATGTAGTGTACACGTGATTACTTGCTGGATGAGCTGGAACTGGAGGACAAGAGGCTACTCTCAGATCAAAGGGGGTTGCCTTGGATCGGGCACATTTGTTGTTCAGATTGTCGTCGTTGTTGTCGTTCTTGTTGTTGAGGCTGTTGCTGCTCTTGTTGCTTGAAAGCGATCTAGCAAATGTCGAGGGCAAGCTTTCGAGAACGCCGGTGCCTGACGTGGTGTTTCTACTTTGCTCGTTTGCAGCGCATAAAAAAAAAAGCGAAGGGGGAAAAAAAAAAACTAAGGTTGCAATTTTTCCACTGCCGTTCTAATGGGCGGGGGGGGGGGGGGGGGGGGGGGGGGGGGGTGCCGAACGGGGGCTGCGAGGACGGCCTCCCACTTGCAGACGGGAGAGACTAACTGAAAAAGAAAAACGGTGCCAATGTTTTTTGCCGGCACATAGCCTAGGTCGCACCGTCGAAGCGGAGGTTTACGTTCGGCCGCGCACAGGTTTAGCTTGTGGAACCTGCAACAAACCCGAAGCTTCCACCGCCTTTCATCGACCACGACGCCGCAGGAAATGCGAATAGTTTGGTGCTGGTATAAAGGCTCGTCCATGCACCTGCGACTGCTCACGACAGAGTGCAACCCCTTGTAGCGAGAGAACACTGGCGATATCCGTATATTTCCTATTTACTTCTGCGCTTCATCTTTCCACTATTGGCGTGGAAAGACTTTCGACAACGTTGCTACGGTGAAGTGCGTTTCCCGTGCCGCCTCAGAGATGTGCCAGCATGTCTTCGCCTAAGACGTAGTAGGAAATTGGTCGTAAGCAGTCGCAAATGTGTAAACCAGAGGAATGGAACGAGCAAGTTGAAAGCGTGAAAGTTGCCTTTTTCTTTTTTCTCCCGTTACTTTTAGACAAATACTCCTAAATGTCTCCCGTTTTCTTTACGAAACACTCAAGGTCTGTTTTGTATATAGGCTGTTCTTCTCGTGCTCTCTCGTTTTTAAATCGCCGCGTCTAGTCAGTGTTCAGTTCTTTTTTATTTTTTTTTCTGGTTATTTTTACGTTTTGACAGGAATAGTTTCACATTGTACATATGGAGATGCGTTTGCTCGCCGACCGTTCCATTAATCGTCTTTGTGATGGATTTACACAAACCCTACGAGAGAAAGTACAATGGAATGTGGTGCGCATGGACGGATCGCGTCGTCGTCTTTTAAATGACGGCAACAGGAGGTTCGTTCATATCCTTCGGTATTGGATGACGAGGCGCTTTCTATGTATTATATATAATATTGTATATCTATACGCGCGTGTATACTAGAACGTTCTTTCAGTTTACATAGGTAGCCAACCCAGCTTGTTTTTCCAGGGTATGAAATTTGTTGCTCAACCAATGAGATGCTTGTTTCGCTCTTCGTTGCAGCATTTCGTCTGGGAAATTTTAACGCAAAATACGTCGGCATGTTCACTTTACGTCGCTGAAGCAAACTGCCGTGGGTCTCCAAACTTTGCGTATTGCTGAAAAAAAAAAAAAAAGGACCGTGCTAATGTTGCGGCAGGTTCTTCCCATCTACGCATGCTGGTACTATTATTGTGCTTGCTGTGTGACAGGCAAATGCTTTAATTGTTTGAAGCAAAGAAATAGAAAAAAAAAAGCCGACATTTTTGTACATACATGAGGGTTTGTATTTCCGAGCATGGCTACCATATAAACGAGTTCCAAAGTCTCGCTCGTTCTGACTCGTTGACTCGAAGGCAGGCTTAGAAGCCGTACTTGGCTTGGGTCTGCCGCTTGGTCATGCGGTTCTGGGCCCACATGTTCTTCAGCTCTTGCTCGCGTGCCTTGGCCTGTAAAAGTCGAGAAGAGAAGGTGCCAAACGATTTCGGTTACATCCGGAACGAGCACATGTAGAAGAGAGAGTATTTTTGTAGACTGGGCTAATTTTGGCTACAATTGTTTTCTATGGATGCCGACAGGATAAGGATGGCGGTGAGTCTCCTTGGAATGCACAGCCTCTTACCCCCACTCGTGGCCTTCCATCATGCTTTGGCTTCACTGAGGCCGAAGCATCATCGAAGGCAGGAAACTCGCGCTGGAGGCAGGACGACCGAGAGACCTCTGTCGTTCTCAATCTGCAGGCGGCAGTAGGGCGCACAAGCGAAGGAGGGGAGAGGACGAGGCGGTGCGAGAGGCAGTGATCATCTGTGCGACAAAGCTCCGCACCCTGCAGGTACTCTTGGGTCTATAACGGATGACGTCGGGCTTTCGTCCGTCGGAACGTGTCTGGTAGTTGGTCGACGAAAATTCAATGTGCCCTTGGAGATATCGCATTAGGGTGAAGACTTGGGCGAGTTGGTTTTGCATATTGAAGAATTAAAAACTGCACAAACAAGACAAAAGACAAGAGGAGACGTAGACAGACCGAGCGGTGACTCTCAATTGAATTTTATTGGAAAGCAACCCACAAAGAATTGCTGCGAATAAATAGGACACAATTCTTATAATTTTGTCATGCCTTGGAGGTATTTCCTCTCCCCTTTCTCGAAGGCCAAGTTCTCGTTCGTAAGGAACCGGTGGACTTCCGAAAGTCGTAGAAATGATAACGACGGCAGTCATTAGGAGCAAAGGACGACACAAGCGTTTGAACGCCAAATGCCGACGCGACCACTCCCTTTGCACGAGGAGCAGACTACCGTCTTCCTCATTGCGATTGGACAGAGATGGTGGCTAGAGACAACGGCAGCTGTTCCACTGTTCCAGTCAGAGATCGGCGCTCCGACGTCGGCGCACGCTCTCCTCCTTTCCTTCGGTTTCACTCCGTACGACGACGATTTGATTAGCGAATGTTTGGCATCCTGTTCCGCTCGCGCGTACGAAGCGCTCCTGAAGTGGCAACGAGTGATGTTGCTAAGGTCAGAGCGTCATGCAGTCTGATCTTGTGAGCCCAATAGTTAAGGATAGAAGTTGCGAAAAAAAAAAAAGAGAAAGCATGAGGGATTGCGAGTGTCACTGCGTCCCGATTCTCTTCTGCCGAAGCTTGTGTGGATTGTCAAGCTGGAGGGCGACCTGCAGCAGAATGGGTGTCTGCTGCATTGCTGCCACGACACCGCCGGGGTTGTGGTCAGCGACGATGCGTCGACTCTACATCATCATCGGGCGGGAATCGAGGCACCATCGTTTGTGACGCGGTAAACGTACTGGTTGGAGAAGCATTTTGGCCACCGTAGTGAAATGGCTATGCAGAGTGCAAGCTCGTCCGCTTCTTTAGTGGGAGTTGTGGTGACACCGGAACAGCCGAGCTCCGATTGGCGTCCTTACATCAGCCGGAGCTCGGCATTGTGTAGACCTCGAGACAGCTTGCCTCGATTGAGGTCTACCCACTATCCTTCAATCAAAGCTCTGTGTTGCGACATCACCACAACCCCCGTAAAAGAAGCAGACAAACTTGCCCTTTGCATTCCCACATTGCACCAGGTGAAAAAAAAGGGGGTGCTTGCCTGTTGCGCCAGGTAGGTGATCTGGTGCTTCCTCCGGTGCGTCTGGGAGGTGTTGAAGTCGCTCGTGTCGCTGGCCGGGCTGTAGCTCTGCTCCTCGGTCAGACCCTTGATGAGCACCCGCGACTTGTCCACCTGGCTGTCCGCGCTCACGTCGATGATGTGGATCTCCTCATCACGCCTGCCGCGGAGACGCACCACCTGTAACGCGTGCCGGCATGGTGGCGTTCGAAGAATCCTCTTTGTCGCGGGCAGTGCCGGTGGACACCGTTCATGAAATGCGGCGTCACCCACTCCTGATGAACTCTTTGGCAAAACATGCTTAATTTTGTCTTTGAGACACCGAATTCCCAAACTGTAAAAAAATCCACAGCTTTTTGCCACGGTGTGCCAAAGAAGTGACAATGATGGGCCGCTGTTATTGCACCTATTAACAGCCACTTTTATGCGTACCCACTCTTCATTTACTCTGGGGGTTCTGAAACTGGGTTCCCCAGAGCACCCTCTTGTGCTCCAAACTGGGTTCCCCAGAGCGCTCCAAAATTTTTTGCCCATCTCTGCCCCCAATTTTTAAGTGAAGAGTGGTGCACTTATTATATGCGTGTACGTGATCATCTTACATCCCAGATTAAGAACGACTGACAGATCTAAGCCTCCCACTGATGAATAACTACGAGCCAAACAGTCCCTATTATGTTTGTTATTATTTACAAGCTCTATACACCTTTCCAATATTTACAAGTCATCAGCCCAGCACACGTATTTTCATTGCTTCAGAAAGCGAGCAGATCATCCGCCATACGCACAAACACCGAAAACGGAATCGGCAGGGAGCCCTTTTTTGTTTGGAAAGGTCTATAGGTTCCTAAACTGCTTTGGCGCATCAATGTCGAGACTGGGAGTGGTGTTCTTCAGCCATCGGACAAGGTAGGTAAGGGTGCCTCGAGGTTGAAAAAGTGTGAGGACTTAATTTACTTGATCACACACAATACATCTTTGTGGTCTCTAAAGTATCTATGAAAGGGAATGCACTGTACGCACTTCCCTGCCTAAGACTAAATCAAGACGAGCGGCTTGGAGGCATTGCAAGGGGATGCAAGCGCACGCAAAACAAAGTTTTCTGCCTGGCACAACGTTGACGCCGCGAATGCAGCTGGGAGGTCTACAACAGCTACCACATGAAAATTGTGATGGGCGGTGTGCGAAGCATGCACGCACCTCGAGGACCGGCATATTTGATCGCGCACAAAGACGTCGTGAAGCGACCACCACGAAAGTTGGGCAGAGCTGTAAACTGCGGCAAGAAATAAGTGCAACTACAAACAAACTATTCGGAACTTCAGCCCACCGCTCGCCCTCTCGCGGATGAATGGAGAACCAGAGGAGCGAAGACGGCTGCGGCGGCAGCGGCGCGGAAACTGTGGCAGGGACTGTCGGCCTTGATGCGTGAAGCCGTTTTAACGGAAAAAGTGAGCGTGGTATAAATATGAATTCTTGTGCTACCTTGCAACAGCATTGCACGAAGGACTGGGATATCTATCATTAGGGACTTTTCGTATATAACATACGCTGTGGATTTCTGGTCTTGTACTGGTCGCCAGCTCAATCTGTGCTCAACACTGCTGCGAGAAACATAGAGCTCTAGCATGTGGAAAGTCTATTCTTTGACTTGAGTATCAGAAAACTGGTCGCGCAACATTCTGTCGAGCTATGCACATCGAGAATGTGTTCGCGTTTTAAGGCCGTTGCAAGCAACACGACCATTGACTCCAAACACTTGCAAGAGACAGAATAGACGTACTTGCTTTCAGGTAATTACGAAGCAAATAAAGAAATGCTCGAAGTTTTTTAAACGTGTGTATTAATTACCCAGCCGTTCGTGACGAGAGCTAAGAATGGGCAGTTTTGGCGAGAGGGGCCGCAACATTGCAAATAACACTATACAGAAAATGTACGGTATATTAAAATTTTTATTTTTGGTAGAGCAATAAATAAAACCTCTGAACACTCCGATTCTGTTAACAGACAGTTTTAGCATAGCGTTACCGCAGGCTTACGTTGGCTACTGTGAGCACAGCAACGCTCCTGGCGCGTGCTGAAAATTGTGCTTCAAAGGCGCAGTGCGAGCTTCCGGTTGTAATGCTACACCGCATGGTAGCCTCCGGTAACAAACTTCCTATCAATAACCATAAAGCAGTTTGATCACGTGTTGCAACACACTAAAACCAAGACGGTAAGCAGCAAGTTGCGAACCTCTGACACAGACATCAATACTGTGATAGTGAACGCTGTTCTCCTGATGCTTGGCAGTCACTGTGAACGGCTCACTTTTTAGAGTACTAATGGCCAGGCAAAGTGCAAACACGATATCTTCACCCTTAGAAATGTTCTGCCACAAACAGTGACATGGCTGGCGCTTAAAACTCGCTCGCCCTCCACAAAGCTTTGCAAGTAGAGGTTTCTGCAACTTCTAAATATCAGCAAGCTTGTTTTGCTAATGCATATGATCGGATACGATCCTGCCCTAACCGCTTCACGTCTGTAGACAAATAAATCATTTTTAGTGTGCTGACCAGTGTTGGCGTGCAGGCGCACGGGAAATCCTGAAGAATCCATCCCCGTCTCTTCCGCCATCTTGGAACTACCGCCCCGCCACCTATAGGGCATTGGAGTTGCGAATAACAAACGGGCTTGCCAACAGCAGGAGCAAGAAGACGAAGCATGACTGCTCGGGGAAAGACTCGAGGAAGACTCGCTGAACACACTTGTCACTATTCACAAGTTACGGTATTCACAACTCCAGCTAAACGGACGCCGCCAAGCGGGAAAACCGGGAACCAGCCGGACCAGGTCGCTCCGCGCCCCTCCGCGTTTCTGGTGGCTTTCGCGGACACGTGTTGTCGGCGCGGTGGCGAACACTAATTTGACGAAGGTCCGAAAATTTCTTAAGTTTGCGTGAGTGTTCATTAGTGTGGTGAAGCCTCAGTAGATTGTTTCCTTCCATCACGTGTTTGAAAGCCCGTTTACTCCACAACATACAGTCGCGTCCTTTCGATTTCTTGGATGGGGAGGGAACACGGAAAAAGGTTTTGACTTCTTGTCTGTCTCGAATCACATTCAAAGTGACGACTGCTTGGTAACTGATAAGTGGTTTTTTTTTTTTTTTATAATGATGTAGAACAGTGGACTGAGGACGCCGGACGAGGCATTTCACTGGGGGGAACACCAATGTTGAAGTCAAGTGAATGGGAAGGTTCGATAGCTGCTTTTCTTGAGTTCGGTTGCGTTCGGTCAGCTTCAAGTTTGAGCCACCCACGCCGGTCGGTGCGCTGGCTATTCATCTTGGCTGCTTTTCGCTGAAAAAGCCTCTGGACCACACTGAAGAAGTTGGGCTGATTTTGCAAATACTACTTGATTCAGAAAAACCTGCTCGCTGCAAATGATGAATGAGGGAAATTATCTGTTTTCAAAAGGTGGGGGACGAGTCTCGCAACGTTAGAAGCTGTCACGGCATTTTGATCTATCGCGCCTCCAATATTTATATTATACCCCTGTCGAAGCCAGCAGCAATATACGTCTACATTGCTCAGGTTGACCGGCCACAAAAAAATACGCATCTTCTCCGTTCAGGATTCGAAGCAAAGTTGAATACAGAGAGGTTCTGCGTGAATCTCTGATGAAGGCTCTTCGACTCCGTGCTGCCGGCTAGAACCATTGGGCTAAGTTTAAGTAGTATCTTTCTCTCTACCAAATATACTTTTATTCAGCAGTTCACCTAATAGCTAGTCAACTAAGCTCGTATTTCAAACCGAAGAATATACTAATATCGCTTTAGTGGGACATAGTACGTAATATAATACATAACCCGTTCGTCAAAATGACTTCTCGATTGCTACTAAAACCTCAATTGAAATACGAATATCAGCTGCTTAGTGGGGCGCCGGCGGGTTAACATGGTCCTTGGCTCAAGAAGCGCTTGCTTAATTTTCGTAATTTTCCTGCAGCCTGTGTTGACCTAGCAGACGACTGGAAAATGCGGATACGCACAGAAGCTCGATTTCGCAGACAGATAAGTCGCATGGTCGAGGCATGCGAGTTAGCTGAAAATTACTCTCGGTGGAACAATTCTGTAGTCATCGCCGCTTCCCTTAGATGATCAAAACTGATTAGAGTCTATTACCGCCTCTCCGGAGCCCATAGTTTCGGTTTTGAACGAAATCTCCGAAACGAAAGTTTGACATAAAAAGAACAAAAAACACCGGGAAAACAAAACTTTGCTTTGCAAGTTTATGTGCACCGGCTACACTTAACAGTCTCGGTTCAAATACCTATAAAATTGGGCATTAATCAAAAGAAAATCTGTTCAATCGAACGCGCCGCCTGTTCAGACGGCTCGGCCGAGCCGACGCGACCTGGACTCAGCCGCCATGTTTGTTTGGTGGTGGCGCCCCCTATAGGTCGCTGGAGTCGCGAATATCAATATTGGCTTTCTACTAGTTATAAAAGTGAAAAAACAAGAGGTACATGTCTTTTGGAAAACCTTGCGTCGCTGAGGGAAACTTCTCCGTATCCTACCCGTAACCCAGAGAAATGGAAGATGGTCACGCAGCAAACAAATTAAGGCTCTCGAATGATAATTTCCACAGTCCCGCATTCATTAAACAGCCTTAGCAGCAATAACATTGATCTAGAAAGTCAAACCTTTAGAGACTTGCGCTTATTATATGCTTGAACGTGATAATTTTCTCTCTTAACATTTGCAAAAGGTGCTTTTAGTTTTGGGCACTAATTTGTTACATTGTTGCCTCTAGCATGCTAGTATGTTGCTTTTTGTTTGCCTTCCCACACACTTCCTGCTGGCCATTGTAAGGGGTCCAGGGACTCGCCAAGCTGCTTATTGGAGCTTTTTTCTTGGGCCCCACCATCATAAAGGATGGAGGAGGAGGAGGAGGAGTAAAGCGGTACTTCGACACTTTCTTGAAAGCATGTACTCCACGCATCAATCCTAAACAAATTCTAAAGTTTCTATTGGAGTGGCTCTTTTCATTAGGTACAGCTCCAGTTCATCTTTGAATGATGCAAGAAACAAGTTGGGGCTTTAGAAACAATCTTGGAAATTTATATGCTTTGCGCCGTCATCGTAGCTAAGGAATCGCCCAAAAATTCTGCGACTTCAATTGGAGACTCCGGTTAAAGTATGAAGGTACCGTATTACCATACAGAGCACACGTCGAGAAATGCCTGCTGTATTAGCTCAGAAAAAAGCTTGTATCATCCATAAAACAACATTAATATATACTGTAAACGAGTTAATTTTCGCGTAAACCTAATTTTTGCGAATCGCCTATAATTCGCAAGAAATAGGTCCCACGAACAAATCCGGTAAACTGTAGACACATTACAATCTATATTGAGATCCCACTATGTCACGAAAACTGGAACTCGCTAATTTTTCCGAAACCTCAGCTTTGAACCAAATCGCAAAATATTGAGCCCGCGAAAAATAAGTCGTTTACAGTACTCCGTTATTCATGAAATCCTTCACGTCTAGTCACACTGAACGATCTAGAAAAAAACAAATCTTTGTACAGTCTACATCGGGTAAAATTTCACCTTTTAAACATGTATAGTCCGGAAAATATGGTAATTTACCAGCTCATGTGCATTTACTCTTTCATTGTTAAATACGTCTCCGACATTTTTTCTGAAGGCCCGATCCGTCTGCCTTCCTCCGAAGGCCCCAGAACTCGTCTCAGACTCACCGCTCCGTCATCCAACTCGACGTCGAACGCCGAGGTGCCCGGCTCGTTGTGTTCGGCGAACACTATCTTCCCGCGCCGGCTCTCCACCGCCTCCTGCTGTGGGTAGTCCGGCACTGTGCAGTCCGGTTCCTGCTCGGGTTCCGGTAGCTGCATCGCAGACAAACCAAGTTCCAGTTTTACCACTATGCGGAGCGCAAGTTCGTCTGCTTCTTGCCTAGGGTAGCAATGATGCAGAACGCCGAACTCTTATTGGCCGATTGAAAAAAATAGTGGGTAGATCTCAAGGCATTTAGCATTGAGACCTACCCACTACCCTTTCAATCAAAACCAATCAGAGGTTGGAGTCAACGTCACCGCAACCCCTGCGCAAGAAGCAGATGGTCTGCTTCTTGCGTAGGGGTTGCGGTGACGTCAAAATGACACTGACCTCCGACTGGCTTCGATTGAAAGGATAGTGGGTAGATCTCAATTCTAGATGGGGCACAGTCGCTGATAGCTTAAAAAACGCAGGGCTTTACAGTGTTCATGATTTTTGCTTCGAGATTGGTTCTTCAATGTTTTTGTCGGGGCTGATGCCGCAATCTCATCGGCTGTGGGGCGATAATACACTGGCCTGGACTTGCCAGGCCTTGCATTTCTTAAAGGGACACTAACCTACCTCCCCCCCCCCCCCCCCCCCCCCCCCCAAAAAAAAGTATTTTTATTTTTTGTTAGGTGATTTAATATGAAATCGGGAGACTACGCAATCAATATTTTGCTGCAGTTGCATGTAACTTTAAAAAACCAAGAAACTACTCAACCGCTCCAAATCGAAATATGAGTATGAAGCTCATGGCCAGAAGTCACGTAGCTACACCCGACCGCATTTTCTTTTACTTTTTTTCTCCGTTTCTCTGGCTTGAGAAGGAGACAACAACAAAGTTGCGTGCACTGTTTGTCGTGCGATTGTTTCGCACTTGTACCCCTTAACCTTGATGTTCTGCGCTTGAAGATCGATTGGCCAATACCACGAAAGACAGTTCCGAAGTAGTGGCTCCATGTCCGTCTCAATGTTGGTCCGTTGTGCGCCGCCATCGCGTCGTCTACCTTGCGGTACGTCGCCATGTCGAGAATGACATGTACATGTACTTCCTGTAATCTGTGCAACAATCTTTCTTTTTTTTTTTTTTTTTTTCAATCAAGTATTTGCAGCTTTTCGGAGATCACAAAAATGGGGTTCATATTCTTTTCTATTTTCAATATTGAATGTGTGCCTTAGATGACCCACGACCTTGAATATATTTGGTACACATAGTTTGAATGCCACATGACTATGGAATGAGAGTGAGCGTGACTGAAACTGGCCAACTCTCGACCGGCCGTTTTCGGGCAGAAAGGAAGTGAATTTCGAGTGGCAAATTCTGTTCTGGGTAGTTGGGCTCTTGTAGGTCATGTTCAAATAAAAATCTCTGCAAGCATAAATGCTTTGCCAGTGTCCCTTTAAGCAATTGATGACTTTGGCACTGAAATAATACGCCTAGATTCTCCGATAACGCAGAAAACAATGTGGATGAGTGCATACAGTGTGCATGTCGGCACGCGCATGCACATGGCCATCCCAGCGGAGCGACAGCTACGGTAAAACCACCGTTCAGCAAACTTCAGTTCAGTAAAGATGTTGGGCTGAAGAAAAAGTTATGCTTACTCGTTTGTATACAGTGTGCACACTGAAATCTGCATACATATGACTACATTGGCTTATGTCTATGGAGCTACAACCACATGAAGACAGTCACTTCAGTAGATTTCCATACAGTGTATTTACTGATACACACGAATACTAATACCGCAAAGATATTTTTTTTTTTGTTTTGTTTTGTTTGTTAAATAAGTCGGATGCTGTACAGTAATCGACAAGGCTAAACTCAAACACATTTTCAGCGGAGAAACAAAACAAAAAAGAAGCTTTTTCTTACGTCCACAGTTGCCGGGTACTTCTCCGTGGACGTAACCGAAAGGTTTTCGGCAGATGCCATGTCGACCTTAGGCAACGGCGGTTCCTCGAACGTAAAGAAGCTCGAGGTCGGAGCGGAATCATCGGGACCGTCATTATCCCCGTCGGTCCACGGATCATTCTGGACCAATGTTCCGGGAGGCCGTGGTTTTGGAGGGCCCTTGTCCCGCGGAACACTGGGCCTCTTCAGGACTTGTGGCATCAGCTGTTTGGAGGTTGCTGAGCCATGCCGCGGAGCCGGAAGCAGCCCCATCAGGCCAGATCCACTCTGAAAAGTGGAGACGAGAAACAAACATTTTAAGAAGGGGCCACGACAACATCTGAGAGGGCTTCTCAGTATTGCGAGATGTGAAGGCTGGTTTTTGCAAACCTTCGTAAGGATTTTTTATGTTTGTTTTCTTAACTCTCCGTCCATCTTTGTTTGTACTTACAGGTTTCCTGAGCACCCTGCACCAACCAGAACCAACAAGTCTCGTTAAACCATGTAGAACACGTGCATAGGAGGTGTTGATGGTAGTGATGCAAAACTATAGAAAAATGTACCACTGACACCATTAATCATTTTTTAGAACTATCGATAGCATTAAGGTATGTCGATAGTCAACTGTTGATGGAAGAAGAACGTCGCGAGTCCACCCATAAATTCTCGTAAAATCCGGAGTCTATCGATAGTTGATTATCGAGTAAACCAAACCCCCCCCTGACGCATACTACTACTCGATAGTCAACTATCGATAAACTCCAGGTTTTATGAGAATTCCTGGGTGGACTCTTGACGTTCTTTGCCACTTATCAAAAATTCTATTGATAGCTTTGCTATATTTGACCATCGATAGTGCTATACCGATAGCTTGAGGATTGTTGGCTATTGATAGTTCTACGATAGTTGGGAAAAAACAGCGCAAAGACGACAAAGTAAAAGGTAACCGACAGGACACAGCGCTGCATACCAACTAGCCCAAACTTTTACGTTAATCCACGATAGTTGGGTGTTGATAGTTGTACAATAGTCTACTACTGATGTCCTGCTTTCAACATTTTTAGGATAGTCGACTATCGATAGTACTATCAATCTTTTTTTTACTGCGGATAGATACTCTAGTCCATTACCAAGTATTTTTTTACAATCGGTAGATACTATAATATACTATCAATAGTTTTACAGTATTCAGGTATCAACAGTACTCTTGATAGTTAGATTCGGTTTTTACTATGGTAGTTCTGCACCACTAATTCACAGACCAAAATAGCTTTATCTGCTGCTGCTGAGAGCAAGCTTCTGCTCTTAGTTTCTCAATAATTGTAGAGCAAACTTGAGAGTGTGAGGTTGGATTCCATCGATGCAACTGCAGTTACAAGATTATATGTTATTACCTGTGCTGGCTTGAATTTCTTTTTTTCGTGGTCTTCATCTTCCTCGTCATCAAACTGCAAGGAAGAATAAGAAAAAAATTGATTGAGGAGGTAAATGTGTTCAGTTATTCAAGCAGGAACTACAGGATGATACAAGGAGACGCCAGGCTCTCTAAATCGACCGTAAAATTCGGTTCCTTAACCTATCGTGCTACGACTTTGTGCAGCGTTACCCACAGATGGTGCATTTTTTTGTAACATTTGCAAAGAGCGAACTTACCTGAGGAAAAAGTAAAGAAAGAAAAAGGTTTAGCTCCTATGGAAACGCAGCGACGCCACCGGTCTTCAAACAACACAGCGCCGTTTTGCGCGGGAGACAAGAGATGGCGCAAGCGGTCGTTGCGCCATCTCTTGTTTCCCGTGCGAAACGGCGCCGTGTTGTTTGAAGACCGGTGGCGTCGCTGCGTTTCCATAGGAGCTAAGCCTTTTTCTTTCTTTACTTTTTCCTCAGGTAAGTTCGCTCTTTGCAAGTTTTACAAAAAAAAAAATGCACCATCTGTGGGCAACGCTGCACAAAGTCGTAGCGCGATAGGTTAAGAAACCGAATCTTCCGGTCGGTTTAAAGAGCCTGGTGTCTCCTTGTATCACCCTGTAGAATGGAGATTTAATGGACTACAATAATGGGATTGCTTGACTACACTTGACTGGCCATTACTGCAATGTGCTTTAAGGAATACAGTCACATTACATTCAGTCATTTCATCAGCAACTGTCTTTATCAAGAAGCCCTTCACCTTCCCTATTGATTATACAGGCCACAGATCAATGCTTAAGCCAGAAAATCGTTCTCCAAGTGAGTTTGGAACAAGCAAAAGAGACTGTTCAGTGCTGGGAAGTCCTTCCTCAATAACCCGACATGTCTTTTCATCCAGACCATAAATATTCTGCTAGAAACTTGATCGTTCCAGGATGTTTGCCCCAAACCACTACGCTCGAAAACGAGTCGGAAAAATAGGTACCTGCACATAAAAAGTTGAAACTTTCAGCAAATATGCATTTCGGTGGTGGATTTTACCTTGTGGAATTTCAAGGCATAGCTCCTTTCCTGTGAAAGATGATACCAACAAACTTGCAAGGACCAACGACAGACGGTGTCCGCGAACGACCGTGTTGGCGACGGTTTTAACGCGTGGCGCCATCTCACGATAGGCGCACTGAGCAGATGAAGCACCCTGTCGTCTGCTCGCACTGCCTATCGGGGGATGGCGCTACGCGTTACAAGCATCGCTAACTCGGACGTCTGCGAACATGTCCACCGTTGACCCTAGGAAGTTTGTTGGTCTCATCTTTCACAGAAAGTGAGCTACGCCTTAAAATTCCACCAGGTAAAATCCCACACCTAAACGCATATTCGGTGAAAGCTAGACGCTTCTATCTGCAGGCGTCGATTTTTCCGGCTCGCTTTAGGCCGCAGGGATTCATTGTGGACGCCCTGTACATCAACCCAAACTCGAGTTGTCAAACTTACACCGTTAAGCGACGGAATCAGGATCTGCGCTCGCTTCGACTTAGTAGGATTGGCGGGCTGCTTTACAATATCTTGCAGCGAGAGATCAAGCGGAGTCGAAGTGGTTGAGGTGCTCTGCTTGGGCGGTGGAAGCCTGGCGAACAGACGCGACGGATCCGCGGTTGTCGAATCGGGTTCGTCGGCTCCAGAAATCGCTTCAGTTGTCGCTTTAGTCGTCGCGTCGAGCGGCTGGTCACTATCACTGCTGTCGTCGTCAGACTGGTCACTGTCACCGTAGGCTACCAGAGACATCTTGCCTTCTTTGCCGAGTCGACACGGTCGCTACACAGGAACTGGACACGATAGCATTCTCCCGGGACGTTTCTGAGACGCCTGAAAACTATCTTCGACACCTCGACGCGACAGATTTCACGAATCTATAGAAGCAAGCGTCGCTGTAGTCATCGTATCATGCGTAACCAGCGAACTACACACCCCGTCCCAAACAACAGTTCTCGTCAGCTTCGTTGTTTCGCCGCCGTGAGCGTGACATCGTAGCTGCTGTGTTCATTTTGCACAAAAAGCGCGACAAAGACGCAGTTTTTAGTGTCACGTGGGTGACCTGGAGTGGTCGGGGTGGGTTGTCGGCGTTGTCGGTGTGGTTGAGTTCCGTCTTCCAAGGCCACTTGATCTTTCAGGTTCAAAAACAAAACTTATTATTTCAATTACAACTCAATTGGTGCTGAATTAAGTGCACGGGGTTTGGCCTGGTTCGAACATAGTTCTTCACTTTTAAAAGCGGTAAGAAAGAAACGTATGAAGACAACCTCTTTAGATTGCAAATCTTTCTTCTGTTGCTAAACTAATTTGTTACTGTTTTTATTAATTTAAGTAAGAGGATGTTTAACTGCTACATTGCCCGGAACGTTATGTGGGAACTACGAAACCCACCGTCGTCTGTATCAATATCACTCATCTAGGAATAGCAGACGTTCTTGCCACTATGTTTTTGATCGGAATATTTTCATTCATTTCGCACTTGCTACGTGATTGATCTGAATTTAAATTTGACGTACGCTTGACGCGTACCACTGGCAAATATTGCCATCATCTTCGTGTCTTCATAAGTGAAGAACCAAGGCAACGAAGGCAACTAAACAATAACAACCAAACAAATCCATAAAAAAAAATTAAAAAAAAATCAGACCGCTTCAGTGCTGCCAGCTATTGGCCTTTTAGCGAACCCGCGCTCCAAATCTGGCGAAGACATACGAAATACACGAATACTCCTTTACGAGCAGTGGCTCGCCGTGTCGCCATGTCGAGTTTCGCACGAAAGAGGTTTTCGCGTGCAGTGCGGATTCTTGATACGTGTTCGCGTTCTTTATAACGGCAGCCTGCCAGTTCAAGCACCGTTTCAATCTTCACAGCGGAGTGTTTTGGACCGACAAGAAGTCTGCTGGAACCGAAAACACGCCTCGCCGAAATAGTTCTCCGTCGTGCACTACGTTCCCTTGGCAACTCGGTCTCACAACAGGTAGGAGACTTTCACCAAATTCCGGGTCATCTAATTCCCCAACTCATCGGGGCACTTGGCGACGCTATGGCGCTATCTCCCACAACCCCTAAAACGTTTAAAGTTCGGTCTCAAATCCATCGCCGGCTTGAAACATTCCCCGTAAGGAATATACACCTGCACGACCGAATCAGTCTTTACCTACCGGCATTTTGATCACTACTAGCGAGCGCGAGTGATTTGTTTTCACGCGATTCGTCGGATTGTTAGATCCTCGTCACCTCTGTCGGAGAATGTTAAGGATCGGTAGTAACTGTACTAACAAGTCGTGATACCGCTTGATTATGAACTGCTGTGAGACGTTATCCGAAGTACAAATGCTGCAACTCCCATTTTCACGCCCCCCCCCCCCCCCCCCCCCCCCCCCCCCTTAATGTTTTATTTTCCCCTATCCGTGTTTGGTTTCTTTACAAATATATATTGGCTGTTAATACAACGAATCTAGGAATCTTCGCAGAGAATAGGCGGATATCGTAGCTGGTATTTTATTTTTCCTCGTACGGAATGGACCACATTCGTGTTCTGAATCATCAATCGCGCGACGGTATGTCGTTTGAATGTACACTTTTCGATTTCGTTTCTTATTTTTGATTGAACTAAGACGAGCTGGCACTCTCTTCTTTTTCATTTTTTTCCCCCCTTGAACACTGTTTGTGTTATGTCTAGACCAAGTTGAGCAAGACCTGACTCAGTCTTTGGGTATAAAATCCTGTTTACTGCGCGCGTCCTTTTATTTCTCATGTCTCATTCAGTACTTATTTCGTCCAATATACAAGCTTGAACGCTGTAACTTTATCTCTGCAAGCAAGGGTTTGGTAGATCGGTAGCCAACGCCTTGCATCGGACCTTTATTTTTTTTCTTTGGAGCCATCCTTCTTGCGTGGGCGATACGTGCCTTTGAGCACCGCTTACGCGGGTGCCGCTTTGGTCAGTTGAAATATTCAAAGAGCGAGAGGAAATAAAAATGAAAGGGTGTATGACTGGGCATCAATAATGTATTGAATGGGCGCTCGTATGGGATGTACTTTGAATCGGGTTGTACACATGTTAGTGCCGCATTTTCTCCGAGTTGTTGCAGGTATTCGCTGCACAGGCGTTGTGGGCCACCTGTAGTCTTGAAAGGTGCTTGTGCTATTAACACGAGTTGTTGTTCACCGTTTGTAGTCTGCGTTTTTTGTTTGTTCCAGTGGCGATCGCCGTCATAATCGGCGGATCTTTCTTTTCTTTTTTTCGCTATTAGTGTAGTCACCAGAGCTCTCTTGGCGAAGTTCTTATCATTCGAATTGTTATAATTATGCTGAAAAAAAAAAAAAAAAAAACTGGCGTTTGTGCGCACATAATAAAATTTTGTTAACACATTTTAGAATTGAAAAAAAAAAACGATAAAATGATTAGGTGATTGCTTGATCGCTAACATTCAGCTGTTGTAATGTAAGCCAGCTGGTGATCGCTCATACTTAAAAAGCTGACACTGAGTTTTTTTGTTTTTTTTTTACTATTGATTTTTTAAAATTATTTTAGTTAAATGAAAAAATTAGTTACACGAGCTCATTTTTATGGTTCATAGCGCCTTTCGAATGCGATGCTTTAGTCACAAGCCATTTAGGTTCTTTTGGGCGTTTATAAAGCTTTCGGAACATCTGTCCACGTTTTTTTTTTTTTTTTCCCCTATTTTGTTTTTTACTGATGTAGTTGCCATCTGACGAATTTCCATAGAACTACTGGGAGAGGCGCTTGCTTTTCACGCAACAGGCGTGTCGTCTGTGTTCCACCTTCGAGCCGGCATGTTGACAGAGGGAACACATGGCAATGAAAGTCGTTCGAGATACAACGCGCCTATAGACCGACACGCTGTTTACAAACAAGCCCGCGTTTGCCCACACCAGGTGTGGGCACTGCGCGTGCGCAGAAACCAGATTCGCGTGAGGGGAAGCTTCTGCGCATGCGCCGTGGCGACAACAGCGCCACCGCAGAGGCGTGATGTCAGAGCCGCGTGTTGGTCTATACACAGGGATCGGTTACGTTTTCGGGATTCATCTCATTGCTTCGGTTGGCTCGCCCTATTGAGCATTTTGCAGTATTTTCAGCGCTATCCCAGCCCTGGCAGTCAGTTTTTACCTCAATAGACCCTTTGCGAAAGCCCGCGCCAACGCCTGTCCGCCATTGCTTGATAAGGTGCTCTACATTGGACACGAGTATGACGTCAGCGTTCGGTGAGGACTCGGATCCAATCACGCACCTCGTGTCCAAGCAATGGCGACTGCCAATGTTGCTCGGTGGACTTTTGAAAAGGATCCATTGTTTCAGCCACACCACGTCATTTAAAATAATGTGTGGCACAGTTTGGCCACGTTGCTTTTGCATCGTGTTTTTTTATTTTTTTTTTTATTTGTACTTTGTATTCGTGTCCTCGGCTTATATAGTCGGTTTAAACACGTGTCAGACTGAGCCGCCATAGCCGAACTTTTCTTGTCTTACCGAGATGTCGAGCCACTGGAGCGGGCGTTGACCAGTCTCCACAAGGGCTTATGCTGGGGAGAAGGACACAGTAACACTTAAAATGGCCATAACCTGTCCTGCTGTGGTAATGATGAAGTTGAGCGAACGGAATAACAGGAAGCAAAAACTGAAGGTCGGTTATGGCGGCGCCCATGCACAGCTGCAGACGCTTTCAGGCAGCTGTGCATGGGCGCCGCCATAACCGACCTTCAGTTTTTGCTTCCTCTTATTCCGTTCGCTTTTCTTCATCATTACCACAGCAGGACAGGTTATTGCCATTTTAAGTGTCACTGTGTCCTCCGCAGCATAGGGAGACTGGTCAACGCCCGCTCCAGTGGCTCGAGATCTCGGAAAGACAAGAGAAGGTCGGCTATGGCGGCTCAATATTGTTGCGTCACCAGCTGTAGCTCTCTCTTCTTCCTAACCCTTCTCCAGCAATAGTTCGTGCACATGGAGCCTTTTGACCTCAGCTCTTGCGCCATAAAGTTTCAAGCCCCAAGCAATCAATCAATCGATTTCCGGCGCACGAGAGGAAAGGATATCGTTTCCGCGAATTCTCTGTGGACAAATTCGGAGCTGGGAACTGTTCGTGCATAATTTAAAATGTTTTGGGGCGTTTAGTACATATTTCGCGCCTGCTGTTGTTGTTGTTGTTTTCTACCCAGAAAAGAATATAATTATAAAAAATAACGTATATTTCTCTCCTTTCGTTTTCTTTTATCGTGAAAATGATCGAGCCATATTCAAAAGATATCGCTCGTACAGGTAGATAAGGTTCTAGGGAAATGTCGTTTCAAAAATGTTATCTTTACGATCAACTGATTTTGGATTTTTTTAGTGTGTATTTCCCTGCGATGTACCGTAGAGGACGCTACAGGCCATCTTAGAACTCCCAGAATGCCGCGTGAGTATCACGTGACCTTCTGGATGTTTGTTGGTCTTTAGTCAGTTCTCTACTTCGTCTCACCTCAGCATGGACTACCTCGGCGGCTGCACTAGCGCTCGTGCAGCGAGTGTTACAGTCAAGGCAGTCAAGGATAGCCGCTCGCTCTTGCACAGCCTTCGCATTTCCATGCTACGTTCCTAGTAAACTCACAGCAATAAAAATACAGGGTCACTATTTTCTCTTGGGGAGGGATTCTGATCGTTACTATTATTTCTCTTTTTAGGCACTTCGTGCAATATATTTGGACAAAAGCGTCAAATATTTGGCTGTAATGCTCATTCACACTGGAAGCGGATCCGCGTTCGCAAAGCGGTTGCGAACGCGGTTGTATAAAGATCCAGCACAATTGAACTCGCACTCGATGACATCAAGTGCGCGTGACATTGTACTGGATCTTTATACAACCGCGTTCGCAACCGCTTTGCGAACGCGGATCCGCTTCCAGTGTGAATGAGCGGTAAGAGATGTAATCCGGCAGTGGTTGTTTGAAAATGCTAGGGTGCCTACGTGTCTGTCTGTCTCCGGGTGAAGACATCCATTCTTGCCCTGAATATGCCAGCGCGTGACGCACTCGCGCTCTCGGTACGTGACTTGGGCGGTAAAATGGCGTCTATGCATTAGCCAAAGCTACGCGCTCAAGCTGAGTGACACCGAATTGCGCGCGCTTCAAACTGCATAAAAAACGATTGGGCGGAAAAATGGCTGACATGTCACCACTCAAGCAAAAGCGCGCGTGTGTATGAAGGCACTCCAGAAAATGCTATAGAAAATGCCGTCTGACAGCGCCCCCTGGTGTCTGATCCAAGGCGCAGAAAGAGGGGCTTGTCACGATCTTTGATTCGATTTTTAACATAGAAAATCGGCCGCCGATATGTGTAAATTCGGTTTTTATATTATTTTTATAGGATGACTTAGAGTTGGGACGAGTGTACATTTCTGAGAGAAGAAAAAAAAATCTAAGACAAATTGCTCGGAGATTGTGTTGCCCAGGGGAAACGTTGTAGCATCACGTGACACTAAGTTGTGTGACGTCATTTTCCCCGCTAAATTCAGCGGGAAAACTGAATTTGCGTTGATGTCACACGACGTCAATTTTCTCGCTATATATTAGCGGGGAAACTGTGTGACATTAGGGAGTTTTCGTAGATCGTTTTCGCCGTCCCGCAACGCCCTCCGCAACCCGCTACGATCCCGGAACTCTACAGTCAAGGCTATCGGCGCGCAGGTGCAGTAGCGACTTCTTCGTTGCGGAGGGCTTAGCGGAGGGAGAAACGCGGTCTACGAAAACACCCTATTAGGGAGTTTTCGTAGACCGCGTTTCCCCCTCCGCTAAGCCCTCCGCAACGAAGCAGCCGCCACTGCGCCGGCGCGCCGATGGCCTTGACTGTGGAGTTCCGGCTAGCGTAACTGGTTGCGGAGAGCCGTTGCGGGACAGCGGAAACGATCTACGAAAACTCCCTATTGCGGGCCACGGCTTCGCGAAATGCGCCTTGCAACGCAAGAAGGTAGGGTGAGA